CGACAGCGGTGAGGGCCGCAGGGGCCGGAGGCGGCGCGGGCCTTGCCGGGCGCGGCCGCGGGGGCCTCGGGGCGGGCGGGGAGGTGCCGGCCCGCGCGGGGTGGGAGGCGGGGACTTGGGCGGCCGCGGCCCCGGGGGGCGCGTCCGGAGGCTCCGGGCTGCTCCTCTGGGAGGTCGGGGCGCACGGCTGCAGACCCGAAGGGCCGAGCGCGCGGGATGCGTTCCCGAGCGCTTGTTCCTGCCTCGCGTGTGACCTTGGTCGAGTCGCGAGATCTGTGGAGTTGGAGAGACCCAGGTTCGAATCCTAGGACTACAAGCTTCTTCACTCTGTGACCTTGGGCAAGTTGCTTCACCTTTCTGTGCCCCAGTTCTTGCATCTGAGAAGTGTATTAGTTAAGCTGAGCGGTGTGAGCTAAAGAAGGCAAAGTGCTTAGTGCCTCACCTGTTGTAAAGAAGCTCTAAGTAAATGTTAGCTAGTGTCATCATCAGCATCGTTGTGAAGACGCACTTCTCTGAAGAATGGGGATATTTCCAGAACTCGCCTCGTGGAGTTGCTGTGAGGTTTAGATGCGGTAAGGCAGGTAAAGCCTTCAAGCACATATCTGCGGAGTTATTATTAAATCTCTGACTGGTTCAGTTTCCTCATCTGTAAGCTGGAGTAACAGCAGATCTGCCTGACAGGGCTGATGTTAGTGTTCAGTGTGTCTGCGTATATAGTGTTGGGAACAGTGCCTGGTACAGCAGCTTGACAGCGTTTGCTGTTACTGTGCTATACCAGAGGGGCACTGGGGGTGGGTCACTCCATTTTTTGTGTTTTAGCCACATACACACTCCTTGAGATACTGCTCCTTCTGTGGTTCGTAGACCAGCGTGCAGCACCTAGTAAGTGCTTAATACGCATTTGTTGAATGAATGGACACTGAGTGTCCTTAGGGAAGATAGACTGGTTTCTAGCAAAGGATGGAGCCTTTTGGAGATATTTGGAGTATGGCAGATGATCAGGTGTTTGGGGTGACCTAGAGTTCAGGGAGGCAGGCCCCAGGAGGTTTATGGGAATGTAGCTGAGGTGCTGGGATTATATGGAGGCTTGGGAGCAGCTAAGTTTATTGACTGGACCTGAGTTGAGTGTGGGGTAGAGGGTCATATGACTGGAGGTAGAGGTGAATGGGTGGTAGAGCCCATGGATTGTTAAGAAAATAGGGACCAAGCCCCCTGTGAGACCTAGAATTCAGGAATGCTGGGTGGTGGTGTGATACATGGGTCATGGAAGCAAATCATTTTGGGTCTCACTGGTGAAGCTGGGCTGGGATGTGGTCAGTGGTTTGGATCAGGTGGAAGATGGCTGAAGTTTCTGTGGTTGCTGGTAGAGGAAAGATGTAAGGGGAAAAGTTAAGGCCTAACCAGTGTGGCTGGGAAGAGAGAGAGGTGGAGGAAGGATTGGTTTGAATGAAAGAAAACTGAAAACCGTGTAGGCTTGAACTTGGGCATAGCTTTTGTGTTCCTCCTGGTTGTGAGGCATATGCCTTTACAGGATTTGTTTTCTTCTCTCATCTCACTTCTGAGTTTTGGGCATGATGGTGATCTCTCTTTTGGAGTTACAGTCAGCCCACTGTGGTCAGAAGTCTTTACCCTTCTACAACACCTTGAGCCAGTGTTGATATCCAAAGATGAAAGTCTGAAACTCAGCAAGATGTAGCTTGTTGGCTTTTCCCTCCCCTGTGAAACCCAGGGGATGGTCTTGGCCCGCTTTCTCACAGTGCATTTTGGATGGTATATTGATTTTCCACTCAGAACTCAGGTGTGGGAAAAATTTGTCTGATCTATGTGGTCTGGCTCCCAGTTCAGTCTGAGCAAGTAAGACCTGGGCCAGGGAGAGCAAGGAGATGCTTGGCTGGTTGATTTCTCCTGACAGTGAGCTGATAAACCAAGGCAGCAACTTAGGAAACAGGGAGATGGTAGCCAGAGGGGTTCAAAATAAGCTTTGCAGCTGAGCCTGACATCATCACCTCCCTGCACTGGGCCCCTTGAGTGTCTGTGTCCTTAAGGTGTATCAAGTGATTTCACAGACACATTTTCATCTGATTCTCATCCATTCATTGCCTGTGTGGTTTGTCAAATAACAAAACCAAGGCTCAGAGGAGGTGACTGGCCTGCCCCAAATCACACAGCTTTTCAGCTAAGCTGAGAGTTGGGGTACATCCCTGTAGATGTGCGTGAGGGCAGCTGGTGTGCTGGCAAATGGTAGGCCTCAATGAACATTAGCTTCTGTATGACCTGGTGTTCTCCTTCCCGCTCTGCCACATTGTACTCTCTTCCTGGCTTTGGCCTCTCTCTTCTTTCTGTGCTCTCTCTCTTGCTCTTCCAACATTGGTTGTTGGTTTGAAAAAGCATCCACTGGGCCCAGTCACTCTGATTCTTAGAACCTGGAAGTTAGATGGCCATCAGAGACCTAGTTAAAGCTTTTTACTTTACAGATAAGTAAACTGAGGCTGGAGGGGTGTGTGACTTGTTTGAGGTCACACAATGAGGTAGTTGCTGAGGCAGGATTAAAGTTAAGACCAATAGGCTGGGGTACGGGTGAGAGTGGTGCATGTCTCTAATCCCAGCAGAGGCAGGTGGATATCTGTGAGTTCCAGGGCAGCCTGGTATACATAGCAAGTTCCAGGCTAGCCAGAAGCAGCACACAGAGCAGGGGGTAATGGCCAAGGGTGGCCTCTCTTGGCTGCCGAGAGGCATCAGGTGTGCTGGGGCCTGTGCCCCTTGCAGGGTAGCAGGCTTTAGGGCTAGGTGATGGATGTGGGTATAGGGATGATTTGGCTGAGGTGAAAGCAGGTCCCTCTGTTGCTTTGTAGACCAGTCTGTAGGGATATTTGGGAGATGATATGTTTTGGTTTCTGCCCTCTTGAGGGAGTGTTGAAGGTTGGTATCAGATCTGTGGCAGTGGACCATGTGGTGACTAGTGGGGTCTTTCTGCAGCCAAGGATTTCAGGTCCCCTGCAGCGGAGGCTGGGGGTACAAGCAGGGGCCAGTGCTGTCACCACTGACAGCACCTCCTGTCTGTTATAGGCATGAGATTTGGGTAAAATTTACTTTAAAATAAAAAAGTATTCTGCTGCCTCTCCTCCCCCCAATGTGTGACAGCCACTGTTTTGGCTTCTGTTAATGCTGCAGTAACAACACTATATAGTGTGGCAGTCACCATGCCTGGCATTCGTTCAGCCATCAGTTCATGTAAGAGTGCTGTTGGTGGCTACTCAGTATAGGGCCCAGCTCACAGCACCGAATGCACAGGTGAGTGAGGTATGGTGTGGGTGCTAAAGGAGCTCACAGAGTGAGGCCAGACATGAGCTTTTAGCTGAGTAAGCTGGACCTAGAGGACTCCAGGAGGAAGCAAAGGAGGCTACAGAGCCCATGGGGTGTTGGCATCAGGCAGAGTGCTGCAAAGATCAGCCCAGAACTTGGGCTCTTCTTGGGCTTAGCAGGAAGCCTCATGGTGGGACAATGAGGAAGTGGTGCTGAGCAAGAAAGCTGCAAGGCGGGGGCTGAGCGACAGGTGCCCCGGGTGCAGGACCTGTGTGCTCTGGAGGCTTCACCCTCAGCCGTCTTTGGGGAGGTACGACCACTGGGTGTAGTTAGAGGAGCAAGTTCTTCCCACCAACTTACTCACTGGAGACAAGCCAGGGAGAATGTCAGGGATCAGGTTAGAAAAGCAGCTGTAGGGCTGTCTGCAGTCGTGGTTTGCTGCTTAGGTTACTGAGGCTGGGGGTAGAAAGTGTTGTCTTTGAGAATGGGATGAAAGCTGTGGGCTTCTCTTATGATAGGTACATGTGCTTACATTTTGCATTCAGTCACAGGGCATTTATGAGATCCTAGGGTATGAGCTCTTGGTACCTTTCATGGCATTTCTGTTAAAAAATCCAACAGAAGGGACACGTGTAAGATCCCCTGGGATCACTTTATGCCAGATCACTTTATACCAGTTCCTGATTCGCGTTCAAAAGGATGCATGGTCATACATTAACAGGCTCTGGTTATGTGTGGTTTTTGTGTTAAGCCTGGTCTACATAGCAATGCTACGTTACTGGGATACAGTGTGTTTCTTCTTGTATACCCATTTCTACAAAAGTGAGGTTACTGGGTCACAAGGTCTAGGGCATTTAAATCTTGGGACTGCTGAAAGAAACTGAAGTCATTTACAGTTCCACTGAAGGGGTTGAAAGTGCCCTATCAAAAGTTGGGGATGTGGCTCAATTGGTAGAGTACCTGCCTCATATACACAAATTCATGAGTTCAGTCCTGAGCATGGGCATAAACTGGGTGTGTTGGTACACACCTTGACCCTAGCACTGGGGAGGTAGAGGCAAGAGGATTAGAAGTTCAAGGTCATCCTCTGCTACATAGTAAGTTGAAGTCTAGTCTGGGCTACATGACACCCTATCCCCCGACTCCCTCATACCTCCCCCAAAAAGGAAGAAATGATCAAGTAAGTCCATCAACTATCTTAGCAGTAGGTATCCAGTGGTGCTTGAGAAACTAGGTTTGGATCTCTCTTCAACCTTGGGGAGGCACCTTAGGTAAGCTGTTTGGCTTCTTTGAGGCGTCCTCATCTGAGGAGATACAGTTGGAATTCTGGGGCCTACCATGCAGGCAGAACTAGATGTGTGTTAATCCTTTTTAAGGTCCATTGACCTATCCACTCAGGCGATGGGGGCAGGACATAAGGCTGACCAGAGCCATTGTGTGTGGAGGTCAGGGGGAATCGAGGCTCATAATGTGTAAGAGCAGTAAGTGTAGTCAAGTAGGTGTCCCGCAGACTCTCCTGCCCCACCCACTCAGCCAGCACTAGCTGAGCTCAGGGAGATGGCTGACAGTTGGTTCTGCTTATGTGGCCTCAGTTCCCTTACCTGCAGAGTAGTTTTGATAAAATGAAGGGCTCTTCCAGAGTTCCAGCTCTTGTTTGAAACTACTTACCAACTAAAGTGGTGTGCAGTTTTCTAAGGATTGTGTTGAGGGTGCACTTGGGGCTGGTCTCGTGGTTGACCTTCCCCCTGTTCACCTATCTGGTGTCTCCCTCCAGGCTGCTGGGGCAGCCCTCAGCACGGTGCCTGGGCATGAGTCCTCTGTTTTCTCCCCCAGGGATCTGTGGGCAGCTTGTCTTATGTGAGGATGAAGGAAAAGGTCAGAGATAGAGTGGAGGAGATGTTCTTGGTGTGTGACTGGTTTGGGGCATAGAACTTGGTCTTGGGAAATCCTGGCCCCACTATGCTTCTTGAGTTGGTACTTGGCAGCATCTCCTCCGGATGGGCTAGAGGGAGGGACCTACCACCTGCTCATCTCTGTGTTCTCTCCTGCAGGTGTGGGCAAGAGCAGCTTACTTTTACGATTTGCAGACAATACCTTCTCAGGTGAGTCTTCACTAGGTGGTGTTGGTGTGCTTGTGGTTTGAAATCCTGTCCCCATCTGTAGGGCTGCAGAACCCACCTGCTTCTGCCTGATTCAGGTTGCTGGATGAGGGGGGATGAAGTTTGGAGGCTTTGGTCAGGAGCCTCTGTGTTCTGCCTAATCCATCTCTTGTTCACAAAAGCCTGTTTATCATTCCTCTCTTTCCTACCCCCAGCCTCCTGTGCCCACCATTTAAAAGTTTAAAGTCCTACTGGGCATGGTGGCACACACACCTTTGATCCCTGCACTTGGGAGGCAGAGGCAGGTGGATCTCTGTGAGTTCAAGGCCAACCTGGTCTACATAGCTAGTTCCAGGGCAGCTGGGACTGCAGAGAAACCCTGTCTCAAAAAGACCAAAAAAAAAAAAATTTAAAGTCCTACTAGATCATGCTTGTATGAAATTTCCAACAGGAAGGTATCTGTAATGTGAGAATGACAGTTGTCCCTGCGCCCTCTGCTGCCCTGGGAGGCTCTGTTCAGTGTGGGTTGTGTCTTTTTCCACTTTTCCCTGACTCTACTTGTGTTCAGGGACTCACCTTCCTCTGTCAGGAGACCAGCTGCTGCCTTGCTACAGCTGACCACCAGTGCAGGTGCTTATGAAGGATTCATTAGTATGCTTTGGTAGCTTCTGTGTTAAGGGATGCTGAGTTACTGGGATACATTGTATTTCCTATACACTTTTCCACAGAAGCTATACTGGGTCACAAGGTCTGGGGTATTTAAACTTTTCTTGGTATTGCCAACTTGCTTTGCAATTTAAAATTTTTATTATTTAAAAATTTTTTATTATTTTTATTTATTTAAAATATTTTATTTATTTTATTTTATGTGTACAAGTGTATTGTCTGCATATATGTGAGTGTACCCGTGTAGTGCAATGCTGCGGAGGTCAGAAGAGGGTTTTGGATTCCCCTGGAACTGGAGTTAAGGATGGTTCGTAGCCACCATGTGGGTGCTGAGAATCAAACCTGGGTTCTCTGCAAGAGCAGTCAGTGCTCTTAACCACTGAGCCATCTCTCCAGCCCCATTTTTATTTTTTATGTGTATGAATATATTGCCTGCATGTATATACGTGCTCCTGTGTCATGCAGTGCCTTCGGAGGTCAGAAGAGGACGTTGGATCTCCTTGAACTGTAGTTACAGATGTTTGTTAGTTGCCATATGGGCGCTGGGAACTGAATCCACGTCCTCTGTAAGAACAGTCAGTGCTGTTAACCACTGAGCCATCTCTCCAGCCCCTTAAATTTATTTTTTATGTGTATGAATGTTTTGTCTGCATGTACTTAACTGCACGTATGTGCATTTCCCACAGAGGCCAGAAGAGAGTGTTGGGTCCCCTGGAACTGATTATGAACAGTTGTTAGTCACTACAGTACTAGGAACCACTGAACTATCCCTCCAGCCCCAGCTTTAAAATTTTCTAAATTACATTTTATTTATTTGTGGCAGGGCACATGCCACAGTGCATGTGTGGAAACCAGAAGACATGCAGGAATTGGTTCTCTTCTTCTATCGTGTGGGTCATGGGATCAAGCTCATGTTGTCAAGCCTGACTGCAAGAGCTTTTTCCCACTCAGTCTTGCCAGCCCCCAAACTGCTTTCAAAGAAACCATGGTCATTTGCACGTCTCTGATCAGTGCTTGAATTTTGCTAAGCTGATAGGCAAAAAGTACTGTCTTGTTCACTCTCATAGCTCTGCCTTCCCTGGTAAGGTTGAACCAGGATGGTTATTAAATGTGTTACATTCAGGCTAGAGAGATGGCTCAGTGGTTAAGAACACTGGTTGTTCTTGGAGAAGACCTGAGTTCGAATCCCAGCACCCACATGGCAGCTAACAACTGTCTGTAACTCCAGTCTCAGGGGTTCCAACAGCCTCTTCTGACCTCTGCGGGCATTGCACGACATGGATGCACTTACCTACATGCAGGCAATACACACATACACATAAAATAAAAATAATAAATAAAATTAAAAAGAAAAAGTATCACATTCACTCCAGGGGCTTCTGGTTGGTTTGACCTTTGACAGCGGATTGAAGTATGATGGTTTGTGAGGACTTACCCCTGATGTCAGGGACAGGTACACTTAGGAAGTGATTATATGGCTAATCCCTCTCAGTGGAGAAGTGGGTTTTGCCCCTTTCCTGCCCCAGTAACAGCTCTGCAGCCACCGGTGCTGGACAGAGCGGCCCTCTCTGGGTGACCTGAAGTGGGACTCCTCATTGTCACCTGATTGTTGTAGTGTCATCTGAGAGTGCACATCACAGGGCCAGAACCTAGTACTCACTTGATAAATGCCACGGTTTGCCATTGGTATGATCTTCTGTTCAAGAGTGGCTGCCTAGCATCTTCTACTTATACTGGCAAACATCCATCTTCCTTTCCACTGTTCCTCTAACCCTCCATCCAGTCAGCTTCCCCTTGGGGCTTTATTTTGGCACTATCTTTCCTTTCTGTGTTACTGTTGGATCCCACTAGAAGTTATGGCCTCCTACCTACCGCATCAGCACTGCTGAGCTTACCTTGTTAACAACCAGCTTGCCCGGCTCTCCTGTTTGAAACCTCAGTTGCACTCTCTGGCCTAGCAGTTTGTGAAACCCTAGCAGGATTTCTCTACTTTGCCATCCTCGATACTTTGGACCCTGCAGATCATGTTGTGGGGCAGTGTCTAGGCTGGATGTACCCACTAGCTGCCGATAACACCATGACAACCAAAAATGTCTCCATCCAGATGATACCTTTTTTGAATTTTTTTTTTTTTTTTGTCTTTTTTGAGACATGGTCTCCCTGTAGCCCCAGCTGGCCTAGAACTCACTCTGTAGACCAGGATGGCCTTGAACTCACAGAGCTCTGCCTGCCTCTGCCTCCCAAGTGCTGGGACTAAAGGCATGCGCCACCACACCTGGCTTTTTTTGATTTATTTATTTTTATGTGTATGAGTGTTTTGCCTGCATGTATCTAAATGCACCTGTGCATGAATGCCCATGGGGGCCTGAAGAGGGTGTCAGATTTCCTAGAACTGAAGTTACTTATGGTTGTTAGCTGCTATGTGGGTGCTGTGAACCCAACCTGGGTCCTCTGCAAGAGCAGCCAATGCTCTTAACCACCGAGTCATCTCTCCAACCTCACGTGTGTTAGTCTTTTGAAAGATGCTCTGTGTTGGGGCTGGAGAGATGGCTCAGCGGTTAAGAACCCTGACTCTTCTTGCAGAAGACTGGGGTTTGAATCCCAGCACCCACCTGGCAGCTAACAACTGTCCGTAACTCTAGTTCCAGGGGATCCAGTGACCTCTTCTGTCCTTTGCCAGCATTGCACAACATGAGTGCACTTACCTACATGCAGGCAATACACGCATACACATAAAATAAAAATAATAAATATTTAAAACAAACAAGAAAGATGCTCTGTGGTAGGCTCTGGGTGGAATGAGACTTGACCTCTTAGTAGTCAAGTGTTTGTCAGCCTGGACTAGACTGTACCACCAGGCACCCATTTTCCTCAAATCCAGTATCTTCTGTACCGCTACCCTGAGAGCTGTTTCAAAGGCACCTTATTCCCCTGGTGAGCATGCTCATTGCCCCTCTACCACACACATAACAGTGCGAGTTCTCAAAATGGTGCAAAGGGCTGGAGATCTGGGCCTGACCTCCCCTCTCCCCGCCTCAACAGGCAACATTGCTGTTTTGCTACCATCTCAGGCGGGAGCAGTGTTTTCAGACTGAATCTCAGGTCTCGTTTATGTCTTAGTAAGTCAGTTTTGTGGGTGTGCCCCATTCTCAGGCCATAGCCAACCTGTCCCCACTCTGCCATTCCTCTAGAGTCTGTTCTCCCAGCTAAATCCTGCTGTAGTTCCTCTGTGGCATGATTCTCAGGCCCTTCTCAGTCTTTACACCGGTATCCTGTCTCACTGGGTTGTGGGTCCATCAGGGCAGATTTGTTTTCTTTGTTCAGGGCTGTCTTTAGGCTCTTGACTGTGTGGGGGTTGTAGGGACCAGAATGTCCCCTGTGGGTTTAGGATGTGGCTCTGGACAGGGCTCCCTGCTGGCCCTCAGTGATGATCCACAATGTGTGCAGGCAGCTACATCACCACGATTGGAGTGGACTTCAAGATTCGGACTGTGGAGATCAATGGGGAGAAGGTGAAGCTGCAGATCTGGGACACAGCAGGGCAGGAGCGCTTCCGCACCATCACCTCCACGTGAGTCCCCCTGAACCCTCACCTTGGACGTGTACATGAAGCTGAGTGACAGTGCTGGTTGTGGTAGAAATGTCCCTGGGTGGGTCCCTGAGGCTGGTGGGATGTAAGGAAGTGAGCCGGCTGCTGGCCTCAGTGGGCACTATTGGCTGTGCCCTTTCTCTTCCTGAAGATGCAAGAGGCAGCCACAGTGGCTGTGGCTGCTGCCGGGGCTGGGGGCAGCAGTGGCTAAGCACCTAACTCCGGTGTCTGGCAGACAGTGACCATGTCCCCACCCACCCCTCAGGCACTTGGCTTTACCCACTGGCAGCTCCTTTCCCTTCAAATGGCAATAGCAGCATTTTGCCTCACCAGGTAGCCGTGACACACCTTTCCCAAGCACCCACTGAGCCAGTGAGAGTTTTTGGCAGGTGTCAGTTCCGCAGACTGCTCACCTAACCTGACTCCTCAGAGATGGCTCTCAGGAGGCCTGGGAGGAACATAGGTATGTGGGAGGCACTTCCTCTACCTCCCCAAGCTGGGAACTGGGAAAGCCACTGTCTAGCATGGTGCCCTCCATTGCTGCTGCAGTGTCTTTGCGGAGCTCTGCTGCTGACGGGAGGAAACCAGCTCTGGTGCTGAGGCCTGCAGAGGCTCTTGGTTCTTGAGTTGTTGGTGGAACAGGTTCCAGGAGAGAAGAGCATCTGAAGGCAGACAGTTTGGGATTTAAATTTCTTTTCCGCTCTGTGTCCTTGGGCAAGTTGCCTGTATTCTGTGCTTGTTTCCCAGAGATTTATCTTTAGAATTTGCTTGAGTGCTGAGGCTTGTGTCCAGGTCCCTTGCTCTGGGCTTTCCATGGGTCATCTCCACAGTCTTCTGTGTGCTGTGCTACTGTTATCCCTTTTGGACAGATAAAGGCACTTATAGTTTTTCTTCTTTAGTTTTGTTTTCTGAGACAGGGTCTCACTCTGTAGCCTTGGCTGGCCTGGAACTTGCTGTGCAGACCAGGCTGGCCTTGAACTCAGAGAGTTCCCCTCCCAGCCGGTTTTGATAGTGGCATAGCAGAGTTTCTCCTCCAGGGCTCTGGAGGCCTGTGTCACTTCCACTGTCCTCCATACTCTCCCTCATTGGCACAGTGAACAAAGAACAGGAAGAGAAGTGCCACCTGCCCCTTGGGGAAGGGGACATACCTTGCTGTGGTTCATGGGTGGTAGGGCTTCTTGGATGGCATTTTACTAAATCAGATTTGAGAAGAGAAAATTGTTGAATATTTAAACAAGGATAGAGATAACATGATGTCAAACACAAAATCTGCCTGAATTCTAAAAATGAAGGGAGAGCGTCAAAGAAGTTTCCAGCTGGTGGCAGACTCTGAATCACCTAGGGTGGCTCTTAAGGACTGGTCCAGCTCAGGCTCAGTGCCTGGCACCGACCATGGTGCCCTGAGGACAGGTGTGAGGAGCCAGTGCTGTGGGAGCAGCCTGTCCTGCAGATTAGGCTTGGCTCAAACGTGGTCAAGGCTGGGTGCAGGGCTTGGACCTGGGCACTCCTCAGCTTTCCCCAGCCACTGTCCTCAGCAAGTAGGTCCAGGGAGCATAGTCCTAATGCACGTCTTGGCCCCATAGGTATTATCGGGGGACCCATGGGGTCATTGTGGTTTACGACGTCACCAGTGCCGAGTCCTTTGTCAACGTCAAGCGGTGGCTTCATGAAATCAACCAGAACTGTGATGATGTGTGCCGAATATTAGGTGAGGCTAGATCCCAGGGGTAGGGACAGTGGGAGGGCAGCAGCTGGTGCTTCTTTGGGTGACTGACTGTGCTTTGTCTTAAAGTGGGCAATAAGAACGATGACCCTGAGCGGAAGGTGGTGGAGACAGAGGATGCCTACAAATTTGCAGGGCAGATGGGGATCCAGCTGTTTGAGACCAGTGCCAAGGAGAATGTCAATGTGGAAGAGGTGAGGCCTGGCTGAGCCGAGTGGAGGGGGAGGTGAGGGCCCATGAGCTTTGGCTATACTGTACTGATCCTGTTTCCAGCACAGCCCTCCTCTCTGACTCCTGGCCTGCTCAGGGCATCTGAGTGACCATTTATTTAATGCCTGCTGTTGGTCAGACATTGTGCCAGGTCCTTTAAAAAAATTATTTAAAAAGAGTTATTTTTATTTTGTGCATATGAGTGTATTGCCTGCAAGTATGTAAATGCACCCATGTTGTGCAATGCCCACAGAAGGTCAGAAGAGGGTGTCAGATCCTCTGGAATTGGAGTTAAGGATGGTTGTTAGCCTCCATGTGGGTGCTGGGAATCGAACCCAGGTCCTCTGCAAGAGCAGCCAGTGTTCTTAACCACAGAGCCATCTCTCCAGCCCCAGGTCTTAGCTCTTATATCACCAGTCTTCTGGTGTAGATACCATTATTTCCATGATCTTAATAACTTTAGGAATATCATATAACCAATGAGAGGAGTCAAGCCTAGGTCTTCCCCACCCCCAAAGCCATGCACTTTACACTCCTGCTGTCTTCCTGTTGGCCGACCCGTCACCTTTTCCTCCCACTTCACCTCCCTTGGTTGCTTGCTTTCCTGGCCTCCAGAGCTTAAGTGGGTTCCAGTGGGCAGCTGAGAGGCTCCTTGGGATGGTCAGCATTGTATGTGGGTGGAGCCTCCATCAGGCAGACAGCTCTGGACTTGTGCCTGCTGGGAGGCAGCTGTGATTCTGAGAAAGAAAAGCTAGAGTCTGTGTGGCCCACTCATCAGCCTCAGGGTAATCCAGAGGCTCTAGGGAAGTCAGGTTCTTATTGTGTGGGACCACAGGCCCCTCAGAGTGAGGCCAGGACTCAAAGCTACTTAGATTCTGGGCTTCATTTGTTCATCTGTAGATGGGAGTGAGAGCCCTGCCTTGCAAGTTGTGAGGATTAAGTGAACCGAGGTTTGCCTAGTGCCCCTTACCATGTGCGTGCTCCATAGATAATTGGCTTGGCTTCTTAAAGATTTTGTGTGTATCTGTATCTGTGTACAGAGTCTGTGCGTGTGTGCGTGCATGCGTGTGTACTGTGGAGGCCAGAAAGCATCTGATCCTCTGAAGCTGGAGTTACAGGCATTTGTGGGATGCTTGGCTTGTTATATGGATGTTGGGATCTAACGCTGGTCCTCATGATGGCACAGCAAGCACTCTTGATCGCAGGGCCATCTTTCCTACCCGTGACTCATCTTTTCTGGGACCTCTGCTCCTATCACTGAAGGTGTAGATATTCACCTTTTGGGGTACCGTGGAGGGGAGGTCTGTAGCTCGGTGGCTGCAGCTTTACCAAAAGGACAGGGAAAGGTTTTAGTCAAGACTGTGTGTGCCCCATGTGGGGAGAGAGGAGCATGAAGCCAGTGTGTAGGCTGTGGGTTCCTTCCGTCCATACACAGAACAGGCCACTTTTGTTTTGGCAGAAACTTCTAGTTGAAGGGAGGGTTCTTCCTCTATTAAGAAAAAGACTAAAGCTGGGCGTGGTGGTGCACGCCTTTAATCCCAGCATTCAGGAGGCAGAGGCAGGCAGATCTCTGTGAGTTCAAGGACAGCCTGGTCTACATAGTGAGTTCCAGGCCAGCTGGGGCTCCAGGGAGACCCTGTCTCAAAAAGACCAAAAAAGAAAAAAAAAAAAAAAAAGAAAAAGACTAAAAGGGACTGGAGAGATGGTTTAGCAGTAAAGACTGAGGTGTGCATACTACTCTTGGAGAGGACCTGAGTTTGGTTCCCAGCACTCATATTGGGAAGCTTACAACCTCTGTAACTCCAGCACCTGGGGATATGACTACTGTCATCTTTGTGGGCACCTGCACCTACATGCACACCCCCCCCCCCCAGAAAAAAAAAAAGACACTGGGTATGATGGTGCATGCCTTTAATCCCAGGCAGAGGAAGGCAGATCTCTGTGAGTTCAAGTCTGGTCTATATAGTTCCAGGTCAGCTGGAGAGCTACAGGGAGACCTTGTTTTAAAAAAGACCCCTTCCCCAGAAAAGACTAGGAAAATCTCCAAGATATTGACTTCCCCAAGCATATATAATAGCTCATGAGTTTTTACATTCCTTTTTAACCTTTAAAAAGGTTTTGAGGGCATCATGGTATACACTTCTAATCCAGCCCTGGAGAGGCAGAGGCAGGGCATTCATGAGTTTAAGGCCAAACTGGGGTATAGTGAGACCCTATCTCAAAAAAAGGGTTTTGAGGGCCCTGGAGAGATGGCTCAGTGATTAAGAACACTGGCTACCCTCACAGAGGATCCAGGTTCAGTTCCCAGAATCCACAGGACAGCTAACAACCTTCTGTAACTCCAGTTCAGGTAATCTGATGCCCTCTTCTGGCATGTAAGGGAATTGCATACATGGGTGCACTTAATTACATGCAGGCAGAAAGAACACTCATAAAATAAAAGCAAATAGATTTTTTTAAAAAAGTGTTTTGAGGATATACACACAGTTCACAAAGAGCAATAGAAAATGGCCTGGGGAGGTGTCTGTGTTGGCCAGCAGGGGCCTCCTCCACATGGTCTCAGGCAGCCCCACCCTGTCATCTCTCCAGATGTTCAACTGCATCACAGAGCTGGTTCTCCGAGCAAAGAAAGACAACTTGGCGAAACAGCAGCAGCAACAACAGAACGATGTGGTGAAGCTCACGAAGAACAGTAAACGAAAGAAACGCTGCTGCTAATGCCCCAGTCCACTGCAGAGACTGCACTGCGGTCCCTCCCCAGCCCGAGGCCCTCGGAGGCTCCTCGGGGGGACAATCTCAGTTTAGTGCCGTTATTTAAAGAATTCTCTCCACGTTTTTGTATTGGGAGGCGCCATCGGCACTTCCTCCCTTTTCCCCCTCAGAGTGCCAAGAAGGTGTTGGAGGAGCCTGCCCTTCCCCACTGGTGCCCTCTCTGCTGAGGCGCCTGGACATGGTGAGGACGCTGCCAGCCGAGCGACTGATTAACGAGTTTGTACATAGTGTATATTGCTTTAACCAGCTGCACACCTTCGGCCTGCTCTGGCTTTTGCCTCCTTACTGCCAACCTGCTGCAACAGACCCTCCCCAGCCCTCCTAGCCCATCTCACCGCCAGCAGCGCCCTGAGGAGCCAAGTCTTTGATCATTCGGGGCCCATGGAGTGTGTTCCACATGGCTCATTCTACCGTACAACTGCTCTGGGAGATGGGAAACACAGCTTTGATGCAGACCCTGCCCTCTGCTGGCCCCCAGCCTTCGGTTCCACAGAGGAAGTCAGTCCTGCCCTTTTGACCAACATGTTTCTTGTCCTGCCTTCTAGATGTCTCTGCTACAAAGCCAGGGGAGCCATGCCTTTTTAACTTACCAAGCATGTTTCAGTTCCAGCAGAAAGGGAGGGGTATACTTGTTCAGAGATGGAGCTTGGAGGAGAGAGCATTATTTTAACATAGAAGACGAAGCCAAATCAAATGAATTGAGTTCCTCACAATTATTTTAAGATTTGACTGGCTCAGTAGCAGAAGTTGCAACTGTCTGACTTTGGGTTCAGTGCTTTTAGAAAAAGTGCATGGCTTCCTATCATTGTGGAGCTAGGCTTCCCCTTATCTTGGGAAGGAGGGGCCTTGCACCTCTGTTCCTGTGGGCCCAGAGCCTCCCACTGGAGTTAGTCTGCAGTGTAGCACCAGGCACCTCTGATGCTGGGGCTGGAGCCAAGGGCTGCTGGACTATGGAGAAACACCTCCAAGCTGGGATGAGCAGCTTTGTATTACTGACGGAACTGTTTTAGTATGGAAGTGGTAGATTTCTTAGCTGGTGGGAAGAAGTGGCAGTGGGGTGGAGGCAGCCAATTTAGAGGCACCCCAATCTCCTGGAGGTAAAAACCAGGGCAATCTGCATTTGATTACTTCCCCCTTCCCCCAGGACACTTTGTTCCCTTTCCCCTAAAAGGATCACGTAACTGGGAAGAACAGATTTGGACATCATGATGTGTTTTATTAGATTTCTTTTCCTAAGCGATTTCCAGGCACAGTCCTGATTGGACAATCATCACAGATCACTGCAATTTTCCATGTTAACACTGTGGATGGGTTTTTAAATCAATAAAACTGGGGGTTTCTTCTCACCTGTCTCTCCACTTGTCCAGACTGTCAAAAGCTGAGTTTCTGCGTGACAAGCCTGTGCTTTGGAGCTTCAGGCTGGGGTTGGGGGCTGTGGGTCTAGGAAGGTGGGTCATTGGAGGACACTGCAGGGTCAAGCAGCAGGCGGCCACTCTAGCTCATTCAGACCAGCTGAGGTAGTCTATCTTCAGGACTGTCCTGGTTGACCAAGGGCTTGTAGGGATGCACAGGGGTCCTGGGGGGTGGGGTGGGTGTCACATGCCTCTGAGCACTCAGAAAACCAGCAAGGCGTGCTTGCCAATTCAAGCAATAAGAGGGTGATCTTGGGAACATCCAGCCCCAGCCTAAGTTAGATGCCTCCATGGCTTTTGGCACCTGGCTGTTGAGGCCCAGGTACTGGGGTGATTTGGGTAACAGTGTGCTTGTCCCACTGAGTGTTACATGCATGAGTGGGGTGGGAGGGTTGGGGTTGGGGACTCAGGGCTAAACTGGTATCCTGGTGGACCGGATGTGAAACTCCTGTCAAACTACAAACTTTTAAATGGTTTGCTAGGATTATTTCTGTATTGAAAGTTTCTAATTATGCTTTTTTAAAAAAATACTAAAAATAAAGGTTTAAGCTGCCACATTTTCTTCCAGGGTCCATTTGCTGCTTCCAGCTGTGCTCTGGGTGGGCTTGGCTTCTTCCACTCTTGGGCCCAGCTCTTGCTTCTCAGCCTGTGTCTTGCACAGGTCCCCATGGAGGGCCCTGGGACATTTTCGGAAGGCAAGTTCATCTCTGAGTGGATGGTTCAGGGTTGGTGTTTCCCCTCTAGGCTGAGCACTTGTGGGGAGATACCAGGGGAAGCTCTGTGTTTACTCTTCACATGTTGGAAGGACAAACACAGTGGAAGCCTCTGCCTGGAGTAAGTTGTTTCTGCCTGGAAGTTTCTGCCAAGCCGCAGGGCCTGAGGGAGTGGCACTGGCAACCCTGGTGGGGAGTCCAGGCTGGACAGGAGGGTGCAGGGCAGGGTGTTGCCACTCTCCACAATGGCCCCTTGTGAGCCCAATCCATCCATCCACTACTCCCTAGCCGCTGGTCCTAGCGCTACCCCAACAGCAGCAGCCAGTGCTGGCTTTGACATGTAAGGCACATATGGACCACACAACCTTCCACATACCCAGGAACCAAGGCAGAAGCTCTGTAGAAATTCATTTTATTCTTATTTAGACTATTTTCAAAAGAAGCAGTGATGCGCTGTTTTTCTAAAAATATGCCTTTATAGATTTATATATGTATATTATAAAATCCATACATGTATTTACATGATTGCTACATACAAAATTACAGCACTGTGGTATGTACATACCTATAAGTACATTCTTTCCACTCATCCCTGCTGTGCTTTTCCCTGGTGAGGGCAGGAGGCTGATCAGTGGGAAGCAGCTGGGGGCTGACCTCACCTAGCCTCTGGGTTGGGAGCCTCAGCAGAGGTTGGGGGGGCTGCTGTGGAAGGAGCAGAAGCAGGCTGCAGGCCTTGTCCCTTGTAGGCCTCGTGGGCAGTATCTGGAGGCTCCCAGCAGCCTCACCTCATCCACCCTGGGGCACCCACCCTGCCTTCAATGTGAGGATGGTTGATTAGGCCCCTCTGAGGCCATCCTGTGGCCTGTACTTGCTCGGCTTGGCCAAGAAGTTGTATTTGAGGTGGGAGGGGGCTGTGGAAGACAAGTGTCATCCTGGCCCTACCCAATGAAGAGGAAAGGGCTGGTTGGCTAAAGCCTACAGAGGACCAATGGGAACACTGCCTGGCCTAGGCCTCACTAGAGGGGTAAGGACTGCACTGGAAGAAGCTGAGAAGTAGTGGCAGCCAGAAGACAAGACCTTCCCTGGGGTACAGGATGGCCTCAACAGAGCTTGGGGCACAGCCCAGCTCTTAGGCCCCACAGCTGCAGGCTGTGCCTCCTGCCATACAGGGGCTCCAGCAGAGGTGCATGCACGTGTGTGAGGGGCTGGGTTGCCCCTTACTCCAGGGACAGTAGCCAGGGAAGGAGTAGAGGCTTGGGTCTCCTGAGGCATGCACAGGAGGGCCTCCATCTCTATTCCCTATCTTCTACACCCAAGGAGGCAGCAGAGCCTTTAGGGTGGGCTGTGATCAGCTGGCAGAGCCCATCAAGGGCCTGTGCAGGAGGTGACTTGAACCCTGCTCTGTAACAGGATCTTGGGGAAGCCCAGGCTCAGGCTTGGCTGGGCAGTGGGGACAGGGTTCCTGCCTGTCCCTTGTTGGTGAGCAGCCTTCAGAGGCCAAGTCAGGCCTCCACCTCAGTCTCCATTGCACTGACAAAAGGGAGTGGGCTTCTGGGACCAACTGGGCCCCAGGGTAGGTGGACAGGCAGTGCAGCTGCCCAGTCCCAGCTGGGGGCGGCAGGGAGATGATTGTACTGCCTTTTGAATTGCCTCTAGTCCCCCATCCTCAATGGCCTAACTCCTCCCAACTTAAATTTTCCTGAAGAAGGAGAAGAGCCACTTGCCATCTATGGTGTTGGGCTCATGCCCCCGCCCTGCACCTTGACCCCTGGAGAAGGCAGCAGCAGGCTGGCTCTGTTCCTTCAGGTGTGTGTCCATCAGCTGCCTGTCAATGACCCTGTGCATGTCATCCTGCAGAGAGAGGGAGGACAGGGATTAGTGGCTGCTCTTGCCTGGCCCTAGGGTTAGACAGGGAGGTGACAAATGTCAGAAGGATAAGGTAAGGATGAGAGATGGGATGAGTGAGTGCTGCAACTGGGGTTGGTGCCCCAAGAAAGCGGTGAATGTTAATACCATGCCAGGGCACAAAGGAGCCATACAGCACTTGGTCTTCTCAGGGCCAGTGTCATCCCCCCTGATGCTCTGTCCCTTCAGGCCTCAATAGGGCAGCCTCCATACCAACTCTGACCTGCCCTATGAGACTGTCCATGGTCTGGTTTGCCATTCTATCTTCAGCTAGCCTAGGGTAACTTCAGCTTGCTAGTTCTCTAGTCCAATGGCCAGGTCTAAGAGGCTGACTGTACCCTATTTTTCCCCCTTCCAGGCTGAGCCACTAATGTTCATGCACCAGGGGCAGTCCATTCTTGGGTTTGCCCTCACCCCTCTGACCAGGCTCCCATACAGCCGAAGTATGGGCATTGCCATCTTCAAGGGCTGTCCTGTATCAACTCAGTCCCATTACTATTTTTTATGGAGTAAGGATGTTTATACCTCTAAAATGCTGGTTGCCTAGAAAGTGTGCCCCTGTCTTACAGAAGCTTTGAGCACAGTTCCTTTGTACTGCTGGATTTTGCTTCTGGGTAAGACTCTGCCACAGATGGTTTGCAACCACTGTCTTGATGTATCTGGTGCTCTGAGTTAATTACCATCAGTTGTAAATGCAACACCACCTGCTTGTCTCTTAGCCTTTAATCCAGTTGTGGCTCTGTGATGTACTGGCAAAAAGACCATGAACCTTACTGGGCCAAACTCACAGAGACTCACTGCTTGAGTCCAAGCACATGACAGATGAGGCCCAGGTTGGGGTGGGCTCCCTGCAGGGGGGACAGATGGGCTCTATGGCTCTGAGCAGCCACTAGAGAAGACTGCAGGAAGTTGGATAGTCTGGCCCCCCTCCCAACTAGCTTGTCTATCACCTCTGTCTCCAAGTTCTGACTTGTGGTTGTCACCTGAATGTCTTTGCAGGTTTCAGAATGAAACCAAAGGACCTTTCTAACCCATTACAGGCAGTGGTGAGTACAAACCACACTGTCTATTGCTTACAGCCCGCACCTCTGCCCCTCTCTCCTCCCATCCTCCCCCTCCATCACACTCAGCTTCCTCTCTAGCTTTTTCCCTTCTCCTCATCTTTATCCTCTCTGCCAGCCACATTTTCCACTTGCCCTTCAGATATAACCCTGTGTTATCTTTTCTAACACGTGGCCCCCATTTCCAAGGTCCCAGTGTAGAATCCTTGGCACATTGCCCTGTACTTAGGACATGCTCAATGAAATATGTTGTTCAATACCTAAGAGAAGTCAAAATGACCTCTGAGCAAGTTCTTCCAAGTGTGCTTTCTCTAGCACATTCATTGTAAATTGAATTTTATACTTTAACCAACTCATCTAGGGAATTCCATGAAATGCATCTTCACAGCTTCACACAACCTACCTATGCTGATCACCATTGTTATTCCTGAGGCAAAACAATCCGTTTATGAGAAGGTGGTACCAAGAAACCAGGGTCAGCCTGTTAGTGCCGGGCCACATGCTACTCAGCTCGCTGGGCATGGCAATGATGTAAGGAAGGAAGCCAGGGCTTGATGGGACATCACACTGCACAGAGATGAGGCCAGGTTCTGGCACACAGAACATAGTGGGCCATGAGGGGCGGTGACAGAAGCAAGATGGAGATGGCAGTGGGAAACAGTGGGTAGGATACAAGGCTCAATCTCACCTCAAAGGCAGGAGGGGTGTACAACTAAAGCTGTTGATACAGGAACTGAGAAAGGCCACTAGATCAGAAACCAAAGGAGCCAGATAGTAAAAAGCCCTGAGGAAGCAAACTGTAGCCAGGAGAGAAGAGAGAACAGTGCTGGTAAGCCAGGGTTCTGGCCAGCTGGTTGCTGGTAGGAGTCAGGGAGCCAGTGACCTGTTAGCAGAGCCAGGACGACTCCAGAGGAGCCCTAGAGCAATGGTCACTGCTGCCTTGCTCATCACTGTGGGACTCAACCTAATCAAGTCACAGGTGGCTTTCCACTTGGCTGGCTGAAATTTCTTGGTGAGACATTAATACTGTATCTACATCCTGACATCAGACCACCTCTATCTTATCAATGAGTCACAATCCCAGGGCGGTAGGAAGCCATGGGGGACCCTGAAGATGATAGTCCTAGAAATGGACATACTGATACATTTTCTCCAGGGACTGTGCCAGTCCAGTGCTCTTTGGAAAAAGAAAGCTGCAGGCCTTTAAGAAGGGAAGGGCAGCAGCTGCCCCAGGGCTGCTGAGCTGGACCAGTTGTGAGTTTTCATTCAATCACATGGGGCTTCCCAGCTTCTCAATGTTAATAGTTGTCTCTCTGTCTAGTTTAAAACAAACCAGAATGACCAGAGGAGGGAGGGGAGGGGAGGGCAGGGTCCATTCCAAGTCTGGAGGTCACTACATCCCTGAGAGTGGCTGCCTGGGCTTTTCATCTTAAGAGCACTCTAAGGCATTATGGGAACCCAGGGGCTCTGTTCTGGATGTCTGCAGGTGGAAAACAGAGGCTCTCAGTCGCCAAGGCACATGGGATCTCTCATCACAAATGTCTTATAGATGCTGAGTTGAGAGATCCTTCCTAGAGCTTCCCCCACCTGGGCTTTACACTCCTGTTTACCTGCCAAGCCTCAAGCTGCTGCGAGAGGTTCAGTTTTTGCTGAATGGCATCCAACAGCTGGCTGTTGAGAGACATCATGTCCATCTTGCATTTGGCGAGTTCTAGCTCCACAGCGTTCTTCCTGCAAACAGATGAGCCAGGGTAAGAGTGGACACCCTGCATCAAGAGACATCTGCTTTAAAAAAAAATTATTTTTATTTTATGTGTATGAGTGTATTGCCCGCATGCATTTAAGTGCACCTGTGTCATGCAATGCCTGCAGAGGTCAGAAGAGGGAGTCAGATCCCCTGGAACTGGAGTTACAGACAGTTGTTAGCTGCCATATAGATGCTGGGAATCAGACACGGATCCTCTACAAAAGCAGTCAGTGTTGTTAACTGCTGAGCCATCTCTCCAGCCCCCAGCATCTGCTGCTTTATTGAAGACCTGGAGTCCACAGGGTAAGGAAATGTCCCAAATACAACAGGGTCACTGGAACTATGGTGTGTAACATACTTCCTAACTAAGCTGAAGGTGAAGGGATTATCTGTCATCTCCAAATCACACAGAAAAAGTGGTTAAAAGAGGCCAACACTTAAATGGGGACTGGAACTCAGAATCAAAGGTCTCACATAAAGGAGCTACTCACATCTACACACTGCAGGGTGGGGACCTTCTGCTTTGGGGAGGGACTGTTTTTGGTTAGCTATTCCCTCCTTAGAGGACTTGTTCCTAGATACAAAGAGAGCCACATGATGTCGTGACTAACACAACTTAGCTAATCCTAGTATCCAATTAATTGCAGAACTGATTAAAAAGATACAGTGCATAAGGGAACCAGTAAAAACATTGCAGAGGGTATTTACTGACAGTTTACTAATATTATGCTCAATGGAGAAAAGAACCAGGGAAGAGATTGAGTTCTGTGATATAAAAACTGCCTGTGTGGGGCTGGAGAGATGGCTCAGCAGTTAAGAACACTGGTTGTTCTTCCAGAAGACCTGGATTTGAATCCCAGCACCCACATGGCAGCTAACAACTATCTGTAACTCCAGTTCCAGGGGATCTGATGGCCTCTTCTGACCTCCGCTGGCATTGCACAACACAGGTACACTTACCTACATGCAGGCAATACACTCATACACATAAAAAACTGCCTGTGTGTTGAAGGACATACAGAAGTCTAGCTGGTTATGTCTGGGTGGTTCCACTGATGGCTGTCTCTCCCCACATGCTTTGGTAATTTCCTATTCTGTGTCCCTGGTATTACTTTGCTCACCTTCCCAATATGTCTTCCTACATTACAGTTGCTCAATGCAAAGGATCAGTTCTGGGTGGAATAAAAGGAGGGAGCAGTTAACTGGGTCACCTCTGCAAAGGCAGCACTGGCTGCTCAAATGTACATCATTTATTTCTGGCCAAGTCAACCACGTCCCTAAGAACTTGATGTTGCAAAGCTAAGGTCTGCATCTCTCTCAGACACAGTCAGTGACTACTGTGCCAGCCCCACAGACAGCTAGAGAACTGGTCTGCTGAGGCCACTGCTGTGAGGCTCCAGCCTGGCAACACAAACCAAAGCAAGGCAGGAAGGAGTAGGTGGGTCTTATTTGTAAAGCGCTCAGACCAGTACTTCCTCCCTGGCATGTCCTCTACCCAGCAATTACCTACCCTACACCCCACCCGCCCCGGAGTGGTGCATCCACCCGCCAGTTTCCCTAGAGGCAGCTCCGGGCCTGTTTTGGCCCTACCCACTGCGGCTGCAGGCTGCAGGGATAGGACTAAGTCTGTCCAATGGGCGCGGGGCTCAAATGCTGCAGGTTGCTTCCGTCACGCTTGCTGCCATTGGCTAGTAGGGAAGAGCAGAAATCCTCATGTGGCACTGGTTGTCATGGACGCGGTTTACCCAGCAGCCCTGGAATCTCGGGTCCCCCCCACCCCAGCTCTACCCTCAGGAGGTTCAGGCATCTGGCAGCAGGTGGCGCGATGAGCAGCGAAGCCAGAGGAATCTGCTGACTAACGGACCGTTGGGGGGGGGGGGTCGGGGTTGGGGGAGACCCGAACATTTTCTCCTAGAGCAATCTCTGTACGTGTCGTTCAAAAGAAACCCCAGACCAGGAAGGCACAGCCACAGAAGTAGCTGATCAATACATTAATCTCATTTTTAAAAAAGGTGGCATATGCCTTTAACCTCAGCAGACGCAGAGGCAGGTGCTGAGAGATCTATCTGCCTAGTCTTCAAAGCCAGTTCCAAGCCGGCCTCATCTACACAGTAAGTTCCAGGCCAGCTGGGGCTACAGGAAGATCCTTTCTCAAAAAAAAAAAAAAAAAAAAAAAAAAAAAAATTCCAAGACCCAAAAGGACTCCTTATATAATATTTTTTTGGGGGGGGTCTTTCTGAGACAGGGGCTCCCTGTAGTTGTCCCAGGCTGGCCTTGAACTCAGAGATCTGCCTGCCTCTGCCTCCTGAGTACTGGGACTAAAGGCATGCACCACCACGCCCGGCTGAACTCCTTATATAATTCTGAAGCCTCTAGTACCTGAGTTTTTTAAATTTGCTTTTATCTAATGTGTATGAGTCTTTTGCCTCCATGTCTGTAAAAGCACCAAGTGTGTGCAGTGTCCACAGAGGCCAGGAGACGTTGGATCTCCTGAAAACATGAGCCACAGGTGGTTGTTAGCTGCCATATGGGTGCTTGAAACCAAACCCAGGTCCTCTGCAAGGAGCAACCAGTGCTCTTAACAGCAGAGCCATCTCTCACTCTGAGTCATTTTTGTTTATTTGTTTTTGCAAGGCAGACTGCTAGCTCCAGACTAACTTCTGTTTTTAGGGAGTGTCTTTCAACTATAAGGTCAAAGTTGTTACTACCTTTCCTGGAATTCCTTTATTGCATAAGAAACACCTTACAGTTCCTGCAGCCCGGTGAAGAGAGGTTTAGAAAGGCTCACCCTTGAATGCATATTAAAATCATTAGGCAAAGTAGCAGCCCCAAACCCAGTGAATTGTTCTGGGGAGGCCCCCAGATCATTCTTAAAGAGCATCTGGTGCCAAGAAAACGCCCGGCTTCTGTCCCACTGCTATTCAAGTACGTACTAACTAAATGCGCTGGGAATCCCAGGGACAAACATATGGCCAGGTGTGTATGCTTCCAAGGAATATTATACTAAATTCCAGAAAATGAACTAGAAATTGATAGCTTGACATGTGATCTGACCAGACAGAAAAGCAGACTCTAAGGTAAAGATGAAAATCAGGAAAGAGAACAGGGAGAGAGGTGTGTAGAAAGTGTTAAGTGGGAAGGTCGGGCGACTATGAAGAACTCTCAAGTCATAACGTGAAATGTGTGTCATACCATTTCTGTTTAAAGGCATAAAATATGTTACTTGGAAATCAGCTCATTTCAGCTTCAGGACAAGCAGCTGTGCAGCCAGGGGAAAAGCTGTCAGGACCAGCAGATCACACCTGAAGATGGAGCTAGTGAGTCTGCTGCAGCATTGAAAAGCCTGCCTCCAACCCTATAGAATTGGGATTCAATAGTTTTGTTTCTTACTGGGCCAGGGAGGGAGTGCTAAAGGATGGGCGTGCTCTGGAAACAGCAGAGTGGGGTGGGGATGTTTCAGTTACGTGCTGTAAGTCCCCCTGTGAACAAATATATGTTTTGCAATTTTTATCTCCTCTATGAAGAGGCGGACTGAGGGCACCATAAAAAAATGTACAGGATCAGCTGGGGGTGGCACACCCATAATCCCAATACTTGATGATGAGGCAAGAGAATAATTCTAAGTTAGAGGCCAGCCTTAACTGCAAAGCAAAACAAAACAAAAAAACAGGTTGGGCATGGTGGTGCATGCCTTTAATCCTAGTTCTTGGGAGGCAGAGGCAGGCGGATCTCTATGAGTTCGAGGCCAGCCTGGTCTACATACCAAGTTCCAGGCTAGCTAGGACTACAGGGAGACTCTGTCTCAAAAACACCAAAAAAAAACCCCAAAAAACCCAAAAAACAAACAAACAAACAAACAAACAAAACACACACACATACAACAAACTATGTAAAAACATCTTTTTGTCTCTGTATTTCCAAATGCTTTGAATACAAGGGAATGCACTTATGCACTTCTTTTCTATTAAAGAAAACACAAAAAAATTTTGAGAAAATGACCTGGTTTATTGGAAATACAGGACAGTTAATTGTTAAATAGTATGCAATCAAATCCAGAATGTAAAAAAAGTATAAGACAAATGATCATATTTTTCAATAGACAAATGCAGTATGAAAAAATGGGAAATATAGACTTTTAAAACTTATCAGTTAAGTCGAATGTGTAGGCTTTGGAGTCAGAGTCTAAATCAATTATAAAATTACAGATATGGCGTAACTGAGGGAATTATAACACTGACTGTATACTAGATGTTATTAAGAAACTGTCTTGTCTTTCCGGGCGGGCTTACAGTTCAGTGGCAGAACAGTTGCCTAGTATAGATGAAACCCTGGGTTTACTTCTCAGAACAGCAAAAAAATCCATCCAACCAAACAACCAACCAACCAACCAACCAACCAACCAACCAACCAACCAACCAACCAACCATGTTTTTCCAGTATGACCACTGTGCTGTGCTGTGCACTTTGAAGATGAGTCTTCCTCTGGTTAGAGACGTACACTCAAATGTTCATGGATGAGGTGACTCATCTCGTGACATAATACAATTCAGTGGGGAGGTGAAGAAAGCAGATGGGGTTACAGATGAAAGGACTCCCGGCTACATAATGATTCATGGTGAAGCTGGTAAGATGGGCAGATAGGGTTCCTGTTATGTTTCTTTTGTGTATGCTTGAAATGTCAACAAAAAAGTTTAAAAAATCTAAACTAAAAATAAGAAAAAGGTAGATACATATGACTTAAGTGGAGGTAAAAGCAAGACATTCAGAATAGCAGCCCACTGATGTTTAAAGAAACACCTACACAACAAATAAACCTACATACCGGAAAAAGGTCACATACTCAACTTTCAATAGGCAATGTTCACCTGGGGACCAAGGGAGAGTGGGCAGCAGGAAAACTAGCCTTCATCTTTGTATTCTTTCGTATAATTTGTGTGTGCACGCGTGATGTGTGCCTGAGACAGGGTCTGGCTATGTAGCCCAGGATGGCCCTAAACTCATTCTGTGGCCTAGACTGGTCTAAACTAGAGTTTCTTCTGCTCCTATCTCCTGAGTGCTGGAACACAGGTGTGTGCCGGATGATATAACTATTTTTTTTAACTTTTTTTTTTTTTTTTTTTGTCTTTTTGAGACAGGGTCTCCTTGTAGCCCCAGCTGTCCTGGAACTCACTATGTAGACCAGGCTGGCCTTGAACTCAAAAAGATCCACCTGCCTCTGCTTCCCAAGTGCTGGGATTAAAGGCGTACACCACTACGTCCAGCTTTTTAACTTTTCAAAAAATTTTTCATTTACTATTTTATGTGTATGCATGTATTGTCTGCATGTAGGTAAGTGCACCCGTGATGTGCAATGCCCCTGAGACTGGAGTTATGGACAGTTGTTAGCTGCCATGTGGGTGCTGGGATTCAAACCCGGGTCTTCTGCAAGAACAACCAGTGTTCTTAAGCGCTGAGCCATCTCTCCAGCCCTAATGATACAATTTTTTAAATAAGCATACACCTCAAATTTATTAAAAAGAAATAAAAGTAGAGGCTGTGAGAGCTGGTGCTGTGGGTAAAAGCATTTGCTGCACAAGCATGAGGACCTGTTTGGATCTAACATCTACGGAAGAAGCTGGGTGTGGCAATTGCCTGTAATCTCAGCACCATGGAGTGTGGAGACAGGAGACACAATTATGCACCCCCCAAACATAAAAAAAATACAAGGTAGCAAGCCATCCCCACTCACTTTGCAATAGCCTCATCCCGGTCCCTGATGGCCCTCTGAAGCTGCTCCTTTGGCTCCTTGTCCTCAGATGTCATTCTGAGTTGGTCCCTCTCCTCCTTCAGTGCAGTCATCTCCACACTCAGCAGCGTCACCTAACAGCAAAGAAGAGTGAATGCAGCAATACCACTGCTTCTGGCCTGGGTGGTTCCTCACAGCCAGCAAGATGGCTCAGCAGGCACAGGTGCTTGCTATGCAAGCCTGGCTTAATCCTAAATTCAATCTCTGGGACCCAAGTAAAGGTGAGAGGAGAAAAATGACTCCGTAAAGTTGTCCTCTGACCTCCAATGTATGTGCTATGACATGTGTACTCCCTGCATGATGCACATTCATAATAAATTTTGGGAAGCTAGAGAGATGAAACTCAACAGTGAAGAGCATTGTGTGTTCTTCCAGGACTCAAGTTTGATTCCTAGCACCTACACTGGACAGCTCACAATTGCCCATAACCCCAGCTCCAGGGGATCCAACACTCTCTCTGGCCTCCAAGGGCACCAGCACTCATGTGCACATACCCAACTACCCACCACACATACACACACAAAATTAAAAAACAAATCTTTAAAAATAATTTTTTTCCCTCAGGGGCATGTGTGGGAAGTAGGTAGGTGGTTGGTGGTGTCTTGCCATTATCCCATTCCAAGGCAACAAGGCAGGGCCCTTCTCCCCTGAGAAAGAACGCCATGTGCCTGGCTCCAGTCCAATGGTTAGGGGTACAGGGGAAACTGAACCTGGATGTGCAGCCATGGGCCAGAGGCCCTGTACTCAGGACATCACACCACTGCTTTGGCTAGGAGGCACTCTAGTGAAGAAATGAAAAAGACCACATATTGACTAGGACTCTGGAACATATGTTTGGAGGCAGGGTCTCAAGTTTTGTTTCTGGCCATCTTTCACATGGAACACAGCTACCTGCAGGGACTGCGATGTTTCCAAAACCTGGGAACCTGCTTCCATCCCCAACTACCATTGGTATAGCCTGGCTCTTCCCATTCAACTCCACAGATCAAAGCCATATAGAATTTCAACTGCTATGGTCTCTCACTCCAATCCTATCACCTTTCTGTGGTCCATGCACTACAGCCTACTAAGTCCTCATGCCCAACCTGGGAGTCATCATCTGGCAGTGAAGTGCTCCTATCTAGTGGCTGCGTCAGCAACACAGTTCACCCCACCTCACAGCAGAGTGACCCTATGTACACCATAATCTCTGGGACAGCAGGAAGCATGTCTACACCTGTACATCTCAGAGTCTGGCTGCAACTGGTGCTTAATCCTAAAACCCTTCTGCACTAAACAACTGACATTTTGAAGTAGTAATCATTCCAAACTTCTTCCTATTTTGGGAGACAATCCTGGTTGTATGTCTTAGTGGGAGAAAGGGTATCACCTCCAACTAGGGAAGCCAGATGGGGAAAGCATTTTCTTCCCTCAGCAGCCTGGGGACAGGCATATGACCCACACTTGCCAGTCCCCCTCCCATCCCCCTTTCCTGAGCTTCCAGATCTGGAGGGAGAACAGCAAAGCCACAGGTCGGTAGAGACTATTCACCAGGCAGTGCCCAAGTTCTGTTGTTGGCTTCCAATGGCTCCTTCTTCCTGCTTGGGACCTTAGTTAACTAGCTTTTCTCACTGCTGATTCTACAAGCTATTAGACTTCATTTTATGTATTCATTTTCTGTGTAAGTTACATAGAACATATTTCTGTTGTTTGCAATCAGAAACTCTGCCTAGCAGAGATTTCAGTATACATGTTAAGTAATAAAGGCTGGTAAGATCAAATGGGGATGCCGACCCCACCTCTTGTTAAGTGTTACACATCTACTCATATTTTTCCAAGGGAGGATCCATTCATACAGGTCTGCCTCCCTCCCACCAGGGGAAAGATGTTGTCTTTCAGCATGCTCTTTGGCTTTTCAAGTCCCAGGTCTAATCATTTTCACACAGAACAAAACTGAACAAAAGTCCAGAATTAGGCTGAAGATCAAGCTCCCAGGTCAGAACAGCAGCCTTTCTGAAGGAATTTAGAGACATCCAGTGATGAGGAGAGAAGATAGGAAATTTGTTGCCATGGCAGACAATGGGCAATGCAGTTTGCATTCTTAAGAGCCTGACAAGGAATGTGAGGGCATGGGCCTGGTGCTCTGCACTTACTATGAAAGCCATAGCTTTCCTGGTGGGGATAGCTTAGTTGAGGATCCCAAGCATTGGGGAAGAGCAGTTTGGAACATCTGCAAAGGCTCTGGTTTGCATAAGCATTGAGCCCCAAGGCAGAGGTGACTGGGGAGAGGCTAAGCCTCACCTAGGCACTAGTAGGTTCTGTAGTCTGATTGTAGTCTCCAGACCTAGAAAGGATGTGACAGAGACAGACTTCTTCAGATAAAAGGAGCCCCAGTATGGCCTTGGGACAGCTAAGGAAAGGAAAGACAGGTAAAAAAAACCACACGCTGGGCACAATGCTAGGCAGGAACACCCATCATCTAATATGTTTCAAAGAAAACTCCAGAAGAGATTTTCATTTTGGCTTAGAAAACCTGAGGAAGCTAGAGCCCAGATTTCCACAGAAATCAAGTCATTATCCCCCTCCATCAAGTTCATATCAAGGATCAAAGATCAAATAAGATAAGAAAGGCCCAGTGTAGGGCTCTGCCTGTGGTTGTGGTAGGATCTAATCTGATGGCTGTCATGAGAATGATCTGGCTGTCTAGACATGTACTTAGGATGTGTCCACCCCAAAATCCACTGTCCTCAGCTAAGACAGACTTTACAATTAACTAGCACAACACCACCACAAAGCCACATAGCTAGGGCTTCCTATGCTCTTTCCATCAATAATTATTTGAATGTCTAGCCTAAGTGAGGCCTGTGCTAGGAGCTTCAGGAGAAAAAGGTGGGTGGTAACTTCTGCTGGTCATCATGGGTCTGTGATTCAATTGGCTGGAAGGTAAGAGGGAAGTACAGTGACCACGGAAGGAGGAGTCATAGACTCCTCCAGGAAGGACATCTAGAAGGTCAAGGAGGGAGAAAAATCTGCTCTGAAATTGAAGAATGACTAGGGTGGAACTGTGAGTAGGTGGGAAAAGATCTTCTAGACAGAGGACTAGCTGGAGGGCCATATGGGGGAATATGCACTCTACCCTGTTATTGCCCATTTCACTTCTGTTAATGCAAAGGCAGTAAGATGGAGTAAGAGGGAAGGAGGCTGGTGGCAGAGCACAGAAGCCCACAGTGGCTGGGGGCTTGATGTCTCCTATGACTTGATACCGAAGTCAGCCCATGATCAGCAAGGGGTGCCAAATTTCAGGTCTACAGAAGACTGCCACCATGTAAGGGCAGATGGAGTAGGGAGTACAAGCAAAGGGGCCAGTAAGGAATGAGCAAAGCTAGCTGTGAACAAAGTTAAATCTGAAATGGCAGTGGCCAGGTGCATGGAGGGAGCAAAGCAAATATTTACAAAGGAACTGTCATGCTTGATTAGTGAAGCCCTGAATGCTCCAGCATGCTCGTTTGATCCATGCCCCCGGAATACTTGGTATGAAGGATCCACAGAAAGGCTGCCCTACTACTCCTACTGCCTGGGATACCAACTTGAGTGGAGCCGAGGGACCTCACAGGTGCCTACAATGAACACTGAAGACCCACTTCATTTGCTGGCAGCTGCTCTGTATTCACTGAAGCAAGGGAGATGTTGGGACCACAGAGTGACTGGGTGCTAGGCAAGTCTTCACATCTCTGGCTAAGGACTTGCCTCAGTTAAATCAAACTTGGGCTCTTTTATTTAAAAGTTTGTGTAGAGCCAGGTATGGTGGCACATGTCTTTAATCACAGCACTTGTGAGACAGAGGCAGGTGGACCTCTCTGAGATCGTGGCCACCCTAGTCTACATAACAAGTTGTAGGTCAGCTGGGGCTATGGAGAGCCTGTCTCAAAAAACCCAAAAATGTCCTTAAACGTTTGGGTAGTTTCTGAGGGTGTGGTATGCAGTAGGCTCACATTTGATCACTGTCCCAGTTTCTAGGAGAGAACATTTCCAAGTGGGAAAGGTGGGAAAGCAATGGGCTTACAGAATGGATCATACACTGGATGAGGCTTGACCCTGGCCTAGCTGTCTCCATAGTTCTGACTACCCTCCTAGACTATGGGGTCCTGAAATGCAAGAGCCCCACAAAGCTAGTGTATGCTCTCTGGATTTAGCTTAGGGACAGGCATGCAGTGGGCAGGTGGGAGATGGTGAACCAACCATGCAGAAGAATATCATGCCCTTGGTGTTGGCTTGTATTTTATAGTCATCTGGACTCAGTCTGCACCTTAATCTCTACCTTGGATGTCAGTATCACATTAGTAAATACAGTGTAGCTGAGAAGTCTTTTCTTTGAGCATTCTGGAAGATGACCTACAGAGAAGCCCAATTCCCTAACGGTGGACCACACATGGGTGGAACCCACTGTCTGAGGAACTCTCTGAAAGGGAGCCCACAGGACCATGTCTACACCAGTTATCATATGAACTTCTAACTAGTTATCTAACCAGTGCCATATCAAACTCTGAGAAACCTACATTGAAGATATATTTCTAACTGAAAATACCCTCTAGTGAATTTCCAGTTTTATCAATTTCTCATAAGCAAAACCCCCGAAATAAAAAAAAAAATAATTATCAAAGAGCTGATAAACAAGCACTTATTTAAACTAAATAAGCTGGGAACACTGACATATGCTTGTAGTCCCAGTTACTTGGGAGGCTAAGGCATGAGGATTACTTGAATTCAAGAGTTCAAGGTTAGTATAGCAACACAGTGAGATTCCATCTTCAAACAAATAATTTTTTTTTCTAAAGAATGCTTTTTTTCCCCCATTGAATTTCTGAGACAGGGTCTCATGGAGCCTGGGCTGGTCATGAACTCGTTATGTAGCTGAGGATGTCTATGAACTCCTAATCCTCCACCTCCCAAGTGTTAGGATTACAGGGAAGTGCCACCATGGCAAAGAACATCTAAACACTTGGTGGCCACAATTTCCTTAGGTTAAATTGGAGCTTCTTCTCTACTTCTCATGCCTTTTTTTTTTTTTTTTTTTTTTTTTTTTTTTTCTTTTGGTGGGGCTGGAGATTGAACCAAAGGCTTTGAATATGGGTAGTCAGCACTCTACTACTGAGTCATATCTCCCAGAGAACTTCTGGATCCAACTGTCTCTTGCATTTTATTCCTCCAGTTTGTATGATCTGTTTCTAAGTGTGAATTACTCCCTGAGAATCTTAAGAGTTTAGGCAAGCACATGCCTTGGGCTGCCCAGCCCATTCCCTAGTGTCTGGCCAGGAGCAAGCCACAGTTTTGACCTGTCCTTGTTCTCTGACCCTTCACAGGAAGAAGAGTGGTGATGGCTTCCCCATATTATTTCAAGAGTATAGTAAGAGACAGAAGTTTCCAATAAAGGTATCTTAAACGTAAGAAATCTTGACCACTGTGAAAACTGGGTGTCAACTCAGGCCCACAGAAATATCATGCAGAAAGCATAGGTAGTGGTGGACCATGAGAGGGCAGGTGAGTGGGGCAGGGTTTGAATATGATAGCTACCCCTAGAGAGGACTCAGCCTACACATACCATGGTCCAAAGGACGTGTCTCCCAGGACAGAGCTCAAAACCTTCTCTCTGGATGGGGCTTCTCTTAAATCCTTTAACATTTTTCACATCAGATTATCAATGTCCATCAGTGTTCACAAGAGATGGAGTCACGATCAAACAAGAAAGGACCAGTGAGGACAACAGAAAATTCCCAAAAGCTAAAAAACAGGTTCACAGAGGTGTGCTGGAGAGCTTTAGTGTCAACTTGACACACCTGGGTTGAGGGAGCCTCAATCAGGGAATTGCCTCTATTGGACTGGCCTGTGGCCATATCTGAAGGGCACCTTCTTGATGAGTGATGTGGGAGGGCCTAGCCCACTGTGGGTGGTGCCACCCCTGGGCAGGTGGGCCTGTGTTGCATAAGAAAGCAGGCTGAGCAGGGGCCAAGGGAGTAAGCTGCGTTTCTCCGTGGCCTGTGCTCCAGCTCCTGCCTCCAGGTTCCTGCCCTGAGTTCCTACCTTGGGCTCCCTGATGAACTGCGACCTGGGAGACGTAAGACAAATAAACCCTTTCCTCCCCAAGTTGGTATTGGTCAGAGTATTTTGTCACAGCAATGAAGAACAAACTAGGACAAGAGGTAATGGAGCTGACACCTGTAAAGATCAGCTGTTCCTTGACTTGACAACTTCCTGGTCTCAGAGGTGCTGAGAAAAACATCCAAAAGTGGCCTGGGAGCCCCATATGGCTTTCAGCTGTTGCCATCCACCAATCAGTACAACTTCTGCCTCTGCAGATGTGTCACTGCAGGAAACAGGATCAGCTATTCTTGTCCCTGCTAATCTCACTTTGAGTAGAATGAGGCCTGGTTTCTTCTCTTGAAGACATCTAGCTCACCCCAACTTTGGGTTGCACTCCCGAGGATGTAATAGTGGAGGACAGCTACATCTCACAGAAGCAAATTCTCAGTGAAGATGGGGGTGCTCACCTGACTGTGGAGTTGCTGCAATTCTTCTAGGCTTTGCCTTAGTTTACCCCTCTCTCCCTCCATGAGCTCTCTCAGGGCTCTTGAGTCCTCACTGGTCTGTCTTATCTGTTCTTCTAAAGAGTCATCATCAATTCTCCGGGAGCCCTGACAGCAAGAAGTGAGCCAGTAGGTAGGGGAGGGAAGGGAGCGATGAGTGAGAGATGGTTAGTCGGGAGAGTGATGGAAAAGAGACAGGTGCAGTGGCAAGAGAGTAGAGATGATGGGGAATGGAAGTGGATCAGGGTGAGGGGGAGACAAAGGAGGGGAGGAAAAAAGGGGTTAGGGAGAAAAATTTCTGTGTTGAATTTCAACCTGTAAACTATAGCTAGATGTTAATGTTCATTCAGGCTTTCAGAGAGGAAGCTGTGTATGTTGTGAATGGCACACACCATTGACAGCTTTCTTGTCCCACAATGACCTGGCCTCTTACTACAATACATTCTGCAAATCAACCCAACCTGGCTAAAAGGACCTAACTACTCTATGGGAAGATGAAATGGAGGAGAAATAATTGTTTGAGAGCTGTGCATGTAAAAGGGAGAAGGCAGCAAGCAAAAAAAAAAAAAAAATCCATCATGAAGCTGTAGAAATGCTGGTATATTCAGGACACGAGAGGAATACCCCTCTCCTCCACAGGAAGCTGTATCTGTAATTTTCAGAGGCCCCTGGTATTCATTGTTCCCCAACATCCTGTGCTCACTAAGATTCCTTTGGAAGAAGCCATAGTCTTTCCAGTTTGCCTACTCATAGCCATCCTAGTACCACGACCAATTACAGAAGAACAACTTGAAGTTTTACCCAGATACAGATTTCTCTATTAACTGTTTCTAAGCAAAGCTCTTCATCTCAAGGCCACCAATGTCTGTCCATAACTATATGGAGAAAGAACTCTGCCCTGGTACTTGCAGGAAAGTGATCTTGGAGCCTGCTTTCTCTGTCTGGTCAGTCACCAGTACTCAGTATTCTCAAACCAGTGAGGGATTAGGACTTTGGTAGTAAGCCCCTGCTCAGGGCTTATTGCATTGTCTATACTGGGTTTCCACCACTCACTGGCTGGGTCCTGTGGCTGGCCCTTACCGTGGGCTCCATGCCATCCACAATGCTCTGTATCAGCCTCTTGAGCTCATTAAGGGCAGTGCGCAGACTGCCAGCGGGCACGTCCTTGGCGGATGAGGTTTCTGAGGACTCGTCCATGGAGGAGTCTGTGGATACAGCTGAGTCGGCACTGTCGTTTCCTCGAAGGTGTGAGCAGAGATAGCGAACCTGGCAATAGGCTTCCCAAAGTTGCAGTCTCAGCTGTGTCACAAAGTGTTATACATCATTACAAGCTCTAGATTTAAAGCCAAAATACAGATGCCTGAGACCTTGGGTTCTAGGAGCAAGGGCTTTGTCTTTTAAAATCATTTGTCTTAAGAATAATACTTGCCTGGCATGGTAGCACATGCCTTTAATCCTAGCACTTGGGAGATAGAAGCAAGTGAATCTCTGAGTTCAAGGCCAGTCTAGACCATATATCGAGTTATAGGCCAACCAGGGCTACACAGTGAGGCCTTGCCTCAAAATAAAATATAGAACACAATAAGAATACTTATTTTTTGGATGGACTTAGCAAATCTTCCCAGATTCTTGATTCTTTTTGAGACAAGGTCTCACTATGTAGTTATGGCTGGCCTGGAACTTGTTGTATAGATCAGGCTTGCCTTGAACTTGCTGTGATCATTCTGCCTCTGCCTCCTTAGTGCCTAGTCATCCTTCCAATTCTTATTTTCCCCGTTCTCCAGCCCCTCCAATCTGCTAATCTGCCATATAAAGTACTTCTGTATTATGTAATTAGTTGCAATCAGAAAATGATCAGAGGAAGGAGTGGTTATAACATACAGAACACAAAGAGGCCAATGGCATGAGGGGATGGACTGTGCATGTTTGAGGACTCTGCAATGCCCAAGGGCAACAAGCATTCCCTCAGTGGCATAGGGGTAACACTGAGCAGCCATCTGGCTGCTCTGCTCAAAGTCTCAGTGGACAAGGTGGGTGGGCGATGGAGGGCCAGGGCAGGCTTTAGTCAATCTGCTTCCTACTGCTCTAGCTAGGGGTCATGCAGGTACTATGGCCTTTGGCAGATGGCAGTGCAGGCTGAGGAGGAGGATGGAAGAGAAACCCAGGCCCACTTCTCCTGCCAGATGATAGGGATTATCAGCACCTGCTCCCTCTCCTGCTCCAGCTCCTCAGCCTCCATGCTCTGCTCGATCTCTGACAGCAGGGACGTGCTGGTGGCAGCAGAACTCTGCAGGCTCCTCTCCTCTGTGAGCTCCTCTACCTTCACTTGCAGCTGCCGGTAGGATAGTCGCACCTCCTGGAGCTCTAGCTGGCTTTGGTGCAGCTGTGGGGGAAGAGCAAAAGCTAGGAGTCAGAGCAAGCAATGACCAGGACCTGACCCTGCTGCTAGACCTGCCATCAGCTCAAAGGCAGACAGAGGCAGGAAAAATCTATCAGTTTGCATGGGGGATACAGTCACCAAAACCCAGACATGGGAAATTCTACAGGACAAACAACTCCACTCCTTAAATACATAGATATAAGGGAAGAACCTAGCAATTAAAGAAAGACTCAAAAGGCCAGGTATGGTAGAACATACCTGTAAGCCAAGTACCTGAGAGGTGGAGGCAGGAAGATCATGAATTTTGGGCCAATCTGAGTAACAAAGTGAGACCCTGTCTCAAAAACACAAATAAAAACCTCAAGATATGAATCAACCAAGTGCAATGTACAAGTCTATTTTAGTTTGTAACTTGATACAAATAAAATGTCTTTAAATTTATGACACTATGAAACAATTGAAAAATTGAATACTTGTTGAGCTTTTTTTTTCGGTCTTTTTGAGACAGGGTCTCCCTATAGCCCCAGCTGTCCTGGAACTCACTATGTAGACCAGGCTGGCCTTGAACTCAGAGATCCACCTGCCTCTGCCTCCTGAGTGCTGGGATTAAAGGCGTGCGCCACCACGCCTGGCAAGCTTATTTTTGTTTCTTTTCCTTCTTCCAACAGAGCCTTTCTATACTGTAGCCCGCTGATCTTGGGGCTTGCTGATTAGGCTAGGCTAGCTATCTAGTAAGCCCCAGAGATCTGCTTATCTCTACCTCCTCTGTGCTAACATTACAAGAGGGTACCACCATGCCCATGTAGGTTCTGGAGATGGAAGTCAGGTCCTTAAGCTTAGAGTCAGGCACACTAAGGGCTTTATCACACTGCTCTATTGCTAAGGCTGTGTGAAGTCCTTCATAGTGAAAAACTAACACTCACACAGCAATATACCATTGTGACTAAAATAATGGGGGGGGGGGAAATCAAGCTTTGATGAGGAACAATCAGAATTTTCACTGTTGGCAGGAGTGGAATGTGTTCAAATACTTAGAGAAGTCCTGGGCAGATTTCTTTCTTAAAAAAACAACAACAACAACAACAAAACAAACAAACAAACATCGTGTGTGTGTTGTGTGTGTGGGGAGGGGGATATGTATGCCTGAGTATAATCATGTGTATGCCATGGCATGCATGTGGAAGTCAGAGGACAATTTTTGGGAACTGGTTTTCTTCTTTCACTATGAGTTCCAGGGACTGGACTTGGATTGTCAGGCTTTTGAGGCAAGTGCTTTTACCCACTAGGCTATCTCACCAACCCTCCTTGGTGGTTTTTAAGAATAAAGTTAGCTGGGTGTGGTTGCACATGCCTTTAGTCCTAGCAGAGGCAGAGGCAGAGGCAGATGGATCTCTGTGAGTTCAAGGCCACCTTGGTCTACATAGTGAGTTCCAGAACAGGTGGGGCTACGGGGAGACCCTGTCTCAAAAAGGCCCCCGCCCAAAAGAAAGAATAAAGTTAAACATATACTTCTCCAATGATCCACCAATTCCACTCTTAGGTGTATACCCTCAATGAAGTAAGAACAAAAGACATTACAAGGGATACTCATAATGGCTACAGATGGGAAACAATTAAAAGCTAACAGCAATAAAATGGCTAAACTGTGGTAGAGTCGCACACTGGGGTATTACACAGTAATAAAAATATACTGCTACTATATGCCACAATATGGACGAATTTCATATATAAAAATGTTCAGCAAAAGCCAAACATAAACAGCATGTAATGGATAATTCTGCTCTTCAAAAGTTCCTAAGCTTTGCTTAAATAGTAAAATAGATGAAGCTTGGACTGGAGGTTTGCTTTTGAGGAAGTGGCAAGTACATTCTTTGTCTTGACTGGAGTAGTGCTTATACATATGTGGGTATGTATCAAAATTCATAACTAGGGGGTTGGAGAGATGGCTCAGCAGTTAAGAGCATTGGCTGTTCTTGCGGAAGACCTCGGTTCAATTCCCAGCACCCACAAGGTGGCTAACAACTGTCTGAAACTCCAGTTCTAGGGGATCCAACGCCTTTTTCTGTCCTCCGTGGGCATTGCACGGCACTGGTGCACTTACATACATGCAGCATAACACTCATACATATAAAAAATAAAAATAAATAGGGGCTGGAGAGATGGGTCAGTGGTTAAGAACACATGGCAGCTAACAACTGTCCATAACTCCAGTTCCAGGGGATTCGACAGCCTCTTCTGTCCTCTGTGGGCATTGCACAACACGGGTGCACTTACCTACATGCAGGCAATACACACATGCACATAAAATAAAAAATAATAAAATAATAAAAAAAGAAAAATAAGTAAATAAATAAATTAAAAAACCTAAAAAAACTCACAACTAGGGAGATAGGCCAGTGGGTAAAGTGCTTGCTCTGCAATCATGAAGATCTAAATTCAGATCCTCAATTGTAAAAAACAAACAGCCAGTCATGGCAATATGAGCCTGTAACTCCAGTGGTGAGGAGTGGGCAGAGACAGGTAGATATCCTGGGAGTTTGCTGGCCAGCCAGTCTGGCAGGAATGACAAACTCCAGGTTCAATGAGAGACGCTGTCTCAAAAAATAAGGCAAAGGGCTGAGAAGATAGCTCAGCAGGTAAAAGTACTTGTTATGCAAGCCTGACAGACCTGAATTTGACCCCAGAACACGCAGTAGGAATAGAGAATCAACTCCCAAAAGTTGTCCTCTGACCTTTATATGCACTCCATGGCACATACACTCCACACTCATACACGTAATATTCATATACATAATAAAATAAGGTGGAGTGTGATTGAAGAAGACTCCTAATGTCAATCTTGGGCCTCCACATGCATACAACATGCAGAGACATTTGTGCATATATATACACACATGCATATGAACACACGAACACACACACACACGAACACACACACACACACACACACACACACACACACACACACACATATATACCATATAGACACAAACAAAAAGATTTGTTCCCCCTAGGTTAGTGTGGGTGAAAAACTTCCTGGGATTTAAATTTAACTTAATCTTTTTTATAAAACGGTCTATCTGGATTTAACTCTGTTTCATTAAAAAGCAGCAGACATTAGCTGAGTATGGTTGTGTATACATATAATCCCAAGCACTTAAAAGATTGAGGCAGGAGGACTGAGGTGGGACAGCCAGGTTTGGGCTGGGGATGTAGCTCAGTGGTAAAGTGCTTGCCTCAAATGCACAAAACTTGAGGTTCAATCCCCAGCACTGGGGAGAAGAAAGGGAGAGAAGGAAAGAGGAAAAAAAAAGGGGAACAAGCAGGAGGGAGGGAAGGAGACCTATACAGCCAAGACTCTTCTTGGCTAAGCCAGCAGTGGCTCTTGTAGAGACGTAGAGGCTGTGAGATCGGTGGCAGCAACTCAGAATCCTAGTTCTCATTAAAGAAGCTTCAAAGAGCCTTTAGCCAATCCTGCAGGTGCCTAGAGCCTCACCCTCAACCCATCAGTGCCAGGAAATGGCTGGCTAATGGTCTGGATGAGCCCTAACTAGGAAGGGCCTGGAGGTCAGCTGCTAGGAGAATGAATAAAGAACTAGCAAGCCTGCTTTTCGTGGTTCCCTTGGATCAGCAACACCTGCTGGTCCAGTGGGACCTCCTCCAGTCCCAGTTCTGGGAGACTCAGAAGAAAAAAACAAAACAAAACAAAAAACACTCCAGGAGCCGGGCGTGGTGGCACACGCCATTAGTCCCAGCACTGGGGAGGCAGAGGCAGGCAGATCTCTGTGAGTTCAAGGCCAGCCTGGTCTACATAGTGAACTCCAGGACAACTGAGGCTACAGGGAGACCCTGTCTCAAAAAACAAACAAACAACCCCCCCCCCAAAAAAAACAAAAAACACTCCAGGGTTACAGGGGGTTAACGGAGACATTCCTAGGAAGCATCTGGCACAATTACAAGCAGCATATAAAGTAGCATAGTGCTTTACAACTATTTTCTAGACAACTCCACACACATCTCAGCAGAAGTTCCAACAGATAAGCACAAGTTCTTAGGCACTGGGCAAAATTAATTCAATTACTCAAGCACATTCAAAGGCGCTTAATTAATTATAACAGCAAGAGAACAAAAGGCCAGGAGCTACCTCTGGTCAGTGACTGATTATACACTTGGAAAGACACGCAGAAAAACCAACTCAAACTAGGACAGAGCCTCTAACTATAGGAATCCTTTAATGTAAAAAACATCTTTGTTATACAAAGATGCTGATTACATATTTTAGGTATGAAAAAAGGTGAGGCAAAATGCTTTTATTAGTACATTATAAGATATCTAAATAGTACTCAAGTGAGTGGAAGTGGAAATAGTCTTCTCACTTGACATTTGTGTGGCTGAGACAGTGTGAGGGTACATAATGTGTTTACTTGTACATGAGAGTGAGAGTAAAGTCTAGATCTTAGGAACTCCTTTCAGAGTCACCCCATAGTGAATGGGCTTGGACTGTGCTAATGAAACCCATTTGCCAGGGTCAGACCCTGCATACTACTTCAAGATGTGTAGTAGGGTATGCAACAGGGTAGCTAAGTGCCTCTTGGAAGGACAATATTACTTTCTTCTACTGAGTATTAGCAAAGTATTTTACTGAGTTTAGCAGGGGTTGGCCATACATGCCTGAAATTTCTGCAATTCCTGCAAATGAGAAGCAGAGGTAGGAAGACTAATGCAAGTTCGAGGTCAGCCCAAAATACATAGCAAGTCTGGGCCAGCCACGACTAGAGTTAGACTCTGTTTCAAAAAAACAAAATAGAACAAAAAAGCAGTTTGGCAAAATGATGCAAACTGAGTACACAATAAATTTTAATCCTTTTCCTGAGGCTTTAAAAAAGTTAGATTTGGCTGGGTGTGGTGGCACACGCCTTTAATCCCAGCACTTGCTAGGCAGAGGCAGACGGATCTCTGTGAGTTCAAGGACAGCCTGGTTTACATAGTGAGTTCCAGGACAGCTGGGGCTACAGGGGGACCCTGTCTCAAAAAACCAAAAAAAAAAAAAAAAAGTTAGATTTGATCAGGGGCTTTAAAAAAAAATAAAAATAAAAATCTGTTTTTGGAGCCAGGCATGGTGGTGTATGCCTTTAATCCCAGCACTCAGAAGGCAGAGGGAGGCAAATCTCTATGAGATTGAGACCAGCCTCGTCTACACAGCAAGTTCCAGGCCAGATGGGTTACCAGAAGACCCTGTCTTAAAAAGCAGAAAGGAAAAAAACTCTGTTTTGGGGCTGGTGAAATGGCTCAGTGGGTAAAGGTCTTGGGATCCACATGGTGGAAGGACAGAACCAACTCTGGACAGTTCTTCATGGCCTCCATATGTGCGCTGTGGCATGTGCACCCTCAAAAGTATACACACGCACACACACAAATACAAAAATATTTTAAAGTTTTTTTTAAAAAAAATTTTAATTTATTATTTTTATTTTACATGTATGTGTGTATTGCCTGCATGCAGGTTAAGTGCACCCGTGTCATGCAATGCCCGAGGACAGAAGATGCTGTCAGATCCCCTGGAACTGGAATTATGGACAGTTGTTAGCTACCATGTGGGTGCTGGGATTCGAACCCGGGTCTTCTGCAATAACAGCCAGTGTTCTTAACTGCTGAGCCATCTCTCCAGCTCAAAATTTTTGACAACAGGGCCCCCAGCATACAGTGAAACAGATCAAAGGAGCTCCTCTACCGGTGTGAGGCCTCTTCCTGGACTGCTTAGCCTTCTATTCTCCCTTATCTGAGGGTTTAAAATCAAGGGATTAAAACATTCCAAAGCCACTGACTCAATATTTTAAAAATCTGGATTAGGGTTACTACTGCTACCTGGGACAACTGGAATTAAAAATAAATAAATAAATAAATAAATACACACACACACACACACACACAATTTTTACTTTATGTGTATCAGAATATTGCCTGCATGTATGTAAGTGTACCTGTGCTGTGCAATGCTCTCAGAGGTCAGAAGAGGGAGTTGGATCCCCTGGAACTGAAGTTACAGACAGTTGTTAGCCACTATGTGGGTGTTGGGAATCAAACCCAGATCCTCTGTTAAGAGCAGCCAGTGCTCTTAACCACTGAGCCATCTCACCAGTCCCTGGAATTTTTATTTCTTTGTCAGTTCAAGCCATTTTGATGACAAGGCTTTCTGGAGGACACTAGTAACTACTGGCAGCTAGTTCACATGAACAGAAGGTACAATAGAAGCAGTTATTCAAATAGGAAAAGGTGAGAATTTAAAGAATAAATGTGATCTTCCAAACAGAGTTGTAACTGCCTGACTTGACAAAGGTCCCTGGATAAGTCTCGCCTCTCTCTCTCTCTCTCTCTCTCTCTCTCTCTCTCTCTCTCTCTCTCTTCCCCTCCCCCTTTTGCGGTCCCCCTCAACTAGTAGCACCTAGAGGTCCACACTGGTTCTAGCTCTTTCCCTCCATCTCTAGGTCTCCAGTTATGGAGCTGAAATAATTTTCATTTGCAAATTCATGCTAGGCTCAAAGTTTCTTTTGTCAAGGGCTGTTTTTGTTTTCTTGTACTTCTTTTCCTTTTCCTCTCTGTGTTCTATATCAGTAACAGAAGAATATTTGATGGAGATTCAACTGCTTGTCAAATGCTGACTTGCAGGAGCAAGTGAGCAACAGGTAAATCAGTTGTATGTGGGGGCAGCGGGGCATCCTAGTCTCCATTTTGCCAAGGACTTTGTATGATTTTGGATTAATGATTTGTTTTCTTTAAACTAGAGAGAGTAACATGGAAGCGCTCTGTTCACTGGAGAGAAGCTTACAACACTCACTGCTATTATCTTCAACCTTGGAAAAATGAGCAAGCTCCTTTCTATCTAAAAACCTACTGTGAGGCTTCAGAGCCAGCACCCTTTCCCCCTCCCTCAGCCTCCATTTTCGTGGTGCTGAGGACAGGAACCAGGGCCTATACAAGCTGGTCAAGTGCTCTACCACTGAGCTACACCCCAGTCTAATTTTCTTCCCAACATTTGTTGAGGCCCTACTATATGCAAAGTTATTAGCTGAGGCACAAACAACATTGAGGGAGAAAAGCTGCTAATCATCCCTCAAAGGGGCAAACTACTTCAGTGACAGCTGAGCTAGTGGAGTCAGTGACAAGTGATATTACTAGACTCGGGACTCAGATGCTGCTTCCATTTGTTTGTTCATTCATCATTTTTTGAGACAAGAGTCTCTTTATCCAGCATTCATTCTCTGTGTAGCCTAGCCTGGCCTTGAATTCACTATGCAGCCCAGGCTGACTCTAAACTCATATTCCTCCTGTTTCTCACCCCACATCATGGGGCTTTCAAACAGTTTCCCTGTGGTCCCCGTGGGGCAATTCTATGTCCTGGTCTTTGGTAGGGATACACCTGGCATTTAAGAATTACCTGTCGAACCACGTTCCCAGAAATGACACTGTCACAACCCAGAGTATTCTCCACCATGCCCAGGAGATGTCCACTCAGAGAGAAGTCACGCCCTGCTACTTTCTAGAACCAGGCCAGCCCAGCAAAGCATCTTGGGAGCAGATGCTACACCCTATTTCTAGGAGACTGGGAGATAACTTTTCTGTTGTGGGAGGAGTTATTTCTTATCTGGTGTGAGCTTGAGAGTTTAACTGAGGCCTGGGGGCAGTTCCTGAGCAAAGATAACTATGACTAAGAAGTAATTTTCCTTAGAAAGGTAAAAAAGACTAATTAGGCTCACAAAGGGGCTGGCCTTTTCTGGCAATAGGCAGAAGCTAGTTATGTCTTGCTGGGTGCTATGGGAGGCTTCTTAGTTTCTGTTCTGTGCCAACTGAATAAATCCCCCTGCTGGGTGAGCAGCAGCAGCAGCAGCAGCAGAGAACACTGGGAGCTAGGCACAGAGAGCTGCAGCTCCCTCTGAAATCTAGCAGATTTTGTAAATGCTAGGCGGCCAGAAGGACACCCTGAGTGCTTCAGTCACTGATATCCTAGAAAGAACTATGTGACACTGTTCTAGGAACCAGAGGCTCAGAACACAGGCAAGGGATGACCTGAGGACAGCAATGTACTTACTCAGCTATGGGCATGGAAATGAGTGCCCAGGGGAATTAAAACAGACACATGGGAAGATCTCAGGGTCACCAACACTGAACCCCGCAGTGGTGCTGGCCTCCCAGATTTTCCTTTCTGGTTAAGCACTCCTATTTTCTGCTCCTGCTCCTAAGTGATGACATTTCTGCCCAGTACCTGCAGGTCTTTGTCATGGCCTTGCCTCTCCAGAATCAGCACCCGGTCTTGCAGCTCCTCCACAGTCCCCTGTAGCAGGTCATTCTCCTCTAAGGTAGCACTGAGCCGATGCTCCAGCTCCCGTTTCCGATCTGACAGCATCTTGATCTGAAAGGGGGGAGAGTCACAGGATGGTGTGGAGTTATACCTGGCTGAGTGTGGGAAGGACTAGTCCCAAGCACCAAGGTATGACTCTCTGAGTGTTGTGCCCAGGGACTTGGGGCTCACCTTAGAGAACAGAGCTGTGCAATCCTAGGCTGAAGAGAAAGGCCCTCCCCTCAAAAAGTTGTTTAGGAAGGGGTGGAAATCAGCCCTGGGGAAGCCAGAATGTGGGCTGCCAGGCAGAGGAAGGATAGTGTGTACTGTGGAAATTCCACAGATAAGCAGACAAGGCCCCACCTTGCCTGCCCTCAGTCTTACCCCAGCTCCACCTGGCAGAGCAGAATCTGATCTGCCTACTCTCTCCTCCTTGAGTCATGAGCACCAGAAAGTTCTAGGAGCTGCTGTGTTTTCACAGGCAGGCTCTCCTCATCCTCTCCCATTGCTGATCCCCCTGGCACTACATGTCACAGCTCAGGTTCAGGGACCTAGCTAAAGAGAAGCTAGCAGGGTATAGTTTCATCAGGCCATACCCTGGGAAGGAGTGAGACAGTAGCCTCATAATTAAATGGCTTTATTTAAAGCAACTTGTACCTGAGCAAGTAGTTTGTGAACAGAAGTTTTAAGTGTTCTTTTATGGAAGGATGAATCGTTTACACACCAAAGACTTAGGGTTAAGACACACATCTTCTTGTAAGAAAGTCTGTTTACTCTTTTCAGTGTTAGGGAGAAAGCAGAAGAAAGAGATGCCCAGTCTTCTCTTGTCTCCAGATTTGTAGGGAAAAAGCTAATCAGTGCTCCTCAAGGCCAGAGATGTCTTACCCAGGGCACCATCATGCCCAGGGGCTCCAGAAAGTTTTCCTAGGTAGTTCTGACTTTGGGGGAGGGGAGAACATTGCAAGAACTGCAGGTCCCCTGGCTCTTCTCCTCTGTTAGTTCCCTGCCATACTGATTTCTCATCCAGTTGCATACTTATAATACTCTCCCGCAATGGTCATGTGTTCCCCATGCTCTGTGGTCTAGCCTGGAGAATGCCTTAAGGGTCTTTCTTGGGTTAAGTTCTGGGGACTGACCTCAGCACTTTTCCAGGGGAAAATGAAATGAGTTTCTGACTTGTTCTAGGTCTTCTGGGCTCTACCTTTCCCTCTGCCTCTTGGCTGCTCCCACTCTGCACTAGCTTTCTGCTCATAGGGCACAGATCTTCCCTGGCATCAATCAATCAGATAGGACACCGTCCTGGGGAAGTGAGGTATGTGGCCTCAGTCCAGAGAGATTGGGTGTCTGGCCAAACAAAGAAAGTCTGTCTTTCAAATGTGCACCTGGGTAAGAAACTAAAAGGAGCAAGACCCTTTGCCGAATGGGCCCACTATTCCTCTCATTGAAGCAGTTACCCTGTGAAGGGAACTTTCACTTTAGGTCATTTTCATTTAAATACCCTCTGACCTTTAAGTTTTCCTTCTCATGGATCATCTTTGTTTCCTGGGTTTCACTCAGTTAAATAATGAGGTAATATGATTCTGATATACAACTGACCCTTAAAAAAATACTTAGATATTCAAAGTTCCATGAAGCTACTTATTTGAAATGAATGATTTCACAGCTTAGCCTTTCAAATAGCAGTGTTATTAGGTGAAGCAAGAGTTTGGCACTAAGCTGCCTACTCCCTTATCCCACCCTACATACCCTAAAACTTGCACCAAATCTGGCAGTTAATATTCTTAGGGAACAAACTTATTCCTGAGGGTCTAGCAAAGTGAACAGGTGGGGCAAAAAGGAAGGCAGGCAACCTGAAGGTATCAGAGCCTGGCAGGGGCAGCTGAATTGCAAGTCATGCACACAAATGGTCACAGACAGGCATGCCAAAACCCCACCAGAGCAATCTCTACTTACTTCAAGAACCTGCTGCTCAATATCAGTAGGAATTCCAAGGGAAAGGAGGAAAGAAGGGAATGGGAAGCAGAAGAAAAGAGAAGATATTGACAGACTTTAGGAAAAACATCCTCAGGTCATTTATGAAGCAGGGAAAGTTTTTCTAGCTTGACCACAAGGGCCAGGGCTGATCCTTTAACCACAGCAGGGAGGAGCTTCTTCTGTTTGGCCTTAGACTATTTCTTAAAGTCTAATTTAGGTAAAGGAGACTTCTTGAGTCCTTGGGAGTGGAGTAGCTGGAAGTCTGCCCTGCGGAAAGCCCTCTTTTAGTTGGTATGACCCTTGCTCTCTGCAGCAGCTATGCACAGTACTGTTTTCCAAATGCTTATTCTTTTTCAGCTGGTCCAGTCAGGGACACAGACTCAGGCTGCCATGTTAACCATGTTCAAGGTACCATACAAAGTACTCTCATATATTAACTTAGCAAATCTTCACAAAAGCCACATAGAGTAGAATAGAAACTTGTATTTTATGGACGAGGACAACAGCAGACCCTGTTGAGACATACTGAGGTGGATCTAAGAGGCATGGAGAAAGGGACAATGCCCTTCCTCACCTTTTATATGGGGCTTGCAAGGATTTTTTTTTTTTTAAAAAAGGATTGACATATTCAGCAAAAAGTAGATCATTTCATGATTTCAACCTTCCTCAGCTATAACTCTCAGCATCTTTATTTTTTCAGACAACAGGCTACTCATAGGAGGATCAAGTGTTTCTCATAGTAATGTTTAGAGGTTTTAATCCTTTTTATATAAAGTAAGGGTTTATCTCCCAGCTCAGAGAACTCTATCCAAAGACCCAGTGCAGAGCCTCTAAGTGTGGCCACACGGGGGTCTCACCTCAGCCTGAAGGCTCTCAAGCCGGATGATGTGCTGGTTAGTAGATGAGTTTTTCTCTCGGAAGTCTTCTCTGAGGGCATGGACCTGCATGGAGAGCTGTCTCTCAACTTCAGATGCCTGCAAGAGAAGAGGTATCTTCAGAATGGATCCAAGGGGCTGTGCAAAGGAAGTCTGTTAAGATTTCTGCCTTTGATTGCGTAAGCTTTTGTGTTCCACTGTGCTTTAGGGTAACATGGGGCTTTCCATCTCTACTATAAATGACTCTGCCTAGGTTTGAGGCCACTTTAGTGACCAGAGGAAACAGGCCCAGGAAAAAGTAAGCTCTCAAATGTTAGCTATCACCAGTATTATTCTGCACATAGAAATTCAGCACGTGTGTATCTACTAAATTAAGAAAATTTCAGTATGTTACATGAGTAAAATGGAAATACCTTCTGCTTTAGTTTTTGTTTGTTTTGAGACAGGTTTCACTTTGTAGCCCAGGCTGGTTGAACTTGCAGCAATCCTCTTGCCTCAGCCTCCCAAAATGCTAGGATGTGAGTAACCATTCTTAGCTGCCTTAGGAATTCTTTTATTTCTCTCATCTATTTCCTCAGCTATGATTAAGAAATTATCTCTGCCCTCATTGCATTTCCACTCAACATGGATGCCATCTTGAGTTCCCTGTCATGGCCATTAAGATTTTGGACATTTATTATTAAGGACATTTTTGCCACGTATAATTCTTTGGGGAGTGCTTGCTGGATGAGGTCCTCCTTTCCTATCCCATTTGTTTATTCTCTAGTGACACAGATGGTTCTCTGAAACAAAGTCCACTTGGTAGTACATGAACTCCAGCTTCTTCCTGAGGATCCAGGCTGATCCCTCTGTGGAATGCCCAGCACATTGCCCTGTAAAGAGGAGAGCCGAGGGACAAGGCAAAAACTGCTTCAGTGATCTTTCTGAGGCCACAGGGACTGAGAAGGGTATGTGTTCTTAGGAGAGATCATCATGCATTGGAACGGTTAGGAATGATTTTCAGAGGAGATAGGATGATGATATTGTTGAAATGGCTGGCTACCTGTTCAGTCAGGCTCTCTCCATAATCGGTCTACCTTCAATCTTCAGTAGCCTTTCCTTTTTTTAAAGACTTATTTTACTACTTTATTTATTTATTTATTTATTTATTTATTTATTTATTTATTTATTT